CAGTAGGTTTTACAACCTGGCAGCTCTCTTTCGTAGTCTCCTGCAAGCCCGACACCAATAAGAAAACCTTAAATGCACTTACATTTCAGCAAACTGTTCTAGTTCCTGGAACAAGTAGAAACAAAATGAGTATACAAGTACTAAGTTATTAAATCTATCACTCTGATACTTTGGGCAGGAAATTCGAGTGGTACAATTAATCTATCGAGCGTTTTTGCATGCTATAAAAGCTTATAGCCATAAAGGGCGAAAAAGAAGCAAAAAGTAGGGATTTTTTTGAAAACACTTAAAAGTGGAAATATCTGGAAAAATAGAAAGCTTTCACTAAGGTCATGTTGATTTTATCTGATTGATCTACCTCTCGTATCACTCTGGCGTGTTATTTCTGGGACACCCTGTATAAATAAAATATTTCGGTATAATATATTAGCACATTTTATCAAAACTGGTTCGCACGCACATGGAAAATATCTCTTGCATGTCCGTGGAGGTCGTGGTTACCAACGATGAGCCACTGCCAATAAATTATCAAAATATGAAAATGAAAAATTGTCGTCAGACTATAAATAATCACTTTATTTTCCTGTATTTGTATCCTTGTCCTTATGAAGCATTTTGGCAAAATAAAGAAGAACATTTCCGAATATTTCAGAAACTACTATTTAGCGACTATCTTACAGAAAGCTATATTTTTGTTGTTTAACAGGATAAATTATAAATACAGGTAGTTCCATAAGAAAAAAAAACTGTTGGGTTTTTGTAGCTTAGTTTTTATTACATACTCTTTTTTACTACTGTTTATTAATTATCCTAATATTGCATAAGGTCTACTAAAGCAGATCTTCCGTGAGATAACCGTTACAATCGTGTGACAACACAAATATAGGGTGTGACAGAAATAACACATCAGAGTGACATGGAAGGTAGATTGGCTTCAGATCAATCAGGTAAAATCAACATGTCCTCAGTGAAAGTTTTCTAGTGTTCGAAGTATTGAAACTTTGTTTTTTCATCACTATCTTTTGCTCCCTTTTTGCCTGTTATGGCTATAAAGAACATCTTACATATAATTCACTCCTGAGCTACCATTAATAGTAGGTTGAGATAGCCGAGTATTAATTTCTTTGAAAACCAGCACGGTATGCTAAAAAAATAAATTGTTACATTTTGTTTCAATGTGTAATGCTCTTTTAAAAATAGTATAACGTTTGTAGGATCTTTCTACTAACAATTGAATAACCCCACTGAAGTCGTAATATTTGCGAAATACTGCAAATAAAAGATAAGTGCAGCCGTCTTTTGTAACCAAATCACTAAGGAATGAAACGACCTAAACATGTCATTGACTATCTCAATCTCACATTCATTGTTCGGTGGTAGCATTATGTCACCACAAGAAATAGACGGGGTACATGCGCAGGATTAATTTAGTACTGCTCCTTGCGGAAAATCGGGGACAAATACTTCCCGGCACACAATGAGTGGAACAGCAGCAGAGCGTTGTATGGAGGGGTCGGCGCACCACGCTCCCCAAACGCCAACCGATAACTGAACTACTGAACAGATGCACGTTAGCCCGCAGCGTGTAGTACGCCGGTACGTGCGCCGGTACCGCTATTCCTTCTGCGTCGTCATTGGTTGGAATTTAGTCAGGCGTTTTTCCACCACCCAATCTCTTTTGTGCATTTACTTAAACAATAGAACATCAGAAAAAACGTATCACAAAAAAAGAAAAGAAACAAATAGACAGATCATCCTACCTGAAAGCAACTCAAAATAAACGCATAAATTGTCCACGATTTTCCCAACAGATCATTTTAAACGAAACATTAAACTTTTTATTATTTTCAATATTCCTGATATTAGAAGGAATCAAATTGTAAAATTTAGATGCAATATACGTATAATTATGGGACACATAATTTGTATTTAATTTCTTATTTGCAAGTACAAAAAAAAAATACATTTTATACTGCAAGGATTTATTTATAAGATTCTAATATTGTTAATTTCTTGCATAGTGGGATATAATCTAGGTTTTTTTAGAATAATCCTTACAATATGGTTCTGCATCACGTTTAGCTGCCCAAGATTTGTACCGTATATCCCACCCCACACAAATATGCCATATACCAAAAGGGGCACCACAAGTGCTTTGTAAATCATCAAAATCTATTTTTTTTCTCAAGTACAGCACATGCTGGTCCCACTGTCAGTGTTGCCGCTTGGTAAACAAGCGCGCGTACCCCACTCTGTATAATGGGTTGCCTCGCATTACGCGGATTATCTCGGCAAACATCAACGGGAAAAATTGCCGTCATACAGTTCTCACGTTCTATCACAGCCGACGTCAACTACGAGCCGTGATGAAAGAAAGGCAACACCGCGCTCGGACGGCATGGTAGTGCTACCTGTGAACGTCGGCCGGCTGCGGCTGTGTGCTCCGTCTCCGTGTAACGTTCAAGAACTAAATTTAATTTTGGAAAAGAGGACAGTTCAATTCAATACAAATCATCTGAATATGAAATAGCTCTAAAAAATTTAAAAATACGAAATAATCGTGATATATATGAGTCGCTAATGCAGTTAACCTAATTAAAAGTATTTAGTTTACGTTTTTTTTTGTCAGCACACTGTGTTCCAACAGGCCCAGCTTGGAAATGTGGAGTTACCTGTTTGTTTTTAATACATTTACTTTCAGTTTTACTGTTATTTTTCAATTTTACATAATCATTCAAATTTATGTATAAAAAAATAGACAAAAGCTTAGATAAAATATCTGCATAATTGCGGCCACAGATGCAAGTTAAAGAAAATTCACTGTAAATAAAGTCAGACTGAATGCTGAGCAAGGTTAACTGACAAAATAAATTTTTGATTATTGCTTTTCAAGAAGAAAATTTCCAATCTATCTACATTAATAATAGATTCAAAAATGGCATACATATGGTAGAATATGATTGGTACATAACTGGTTGGAATTGACAGTTCTCCTCTTTGCAAATAATCAAAATAAACATTTGTTGTTAATGAACCTTTTTCTTTAACTATTAGCGATTTGCATATCTCGCAGTTTAGGTTTTTAGAGATAGCGTGTGAAGCATATCCAGATATATAAGTCTTAGTACTATCCTCTATGTCACAATTGGCTAAGTAATTTGTCTCAAATACTTCATTGAATATATCCAAAACTTCAGGATTTTGTTTGGTATCCAAGAAATCAAAATTTTCTTGAGTTTCTAAGCAGTTTTGGAACCTTGTTTTAATTTCTGCTAAAGAAAATGACGATTTCTTTTCATTGAAAATATGCTTCAGCCGTATTTTCTTTTCAGCATTTAAAATTTCATCATATGACACATTGTAATTGCAGCCACATAAAAGTCTATAATTGCCAAATCGTTTTTCTAAATTATCAGTGGTGAATTTTCCAGGCAATACATACTCAATGTCAAATTGATTAAATGAATATTCAATTATATTAAGTAGAGTCAGCATGCTTTGATATAGAGCTGTATACATTTCTAGTGTCAGGTGTCCATTATTATTCTCTAGATTATGCCATTTTTCTAACCATATCAGGAATTTTTAAAAAAATTGTACTCTATAATCATATTTATTGGTAATAGGCTTACAAAATTCGTTTCGCTTCAATTCTCCTTTTATTACACTTGTATTACTGACAATATCCCACCAATTCCTGATTATTTCCAAAAAGTGTGCAGCATCATTAAACTTTAATTCTTTCATAGCAGCTATTGTTGAGTGATGGAATAAATTATCTACAAATTTTACATTTTGCCTTTCAAATGAATTTGGATGCAATGTTTTATAATTTAATTTATATGCTTTCTTAACTACAGCTTCTTTTTCCAATTGATATACAGCACAAATGTTTTCAAATTTAGCATACTGAATAATATCATTATTGTCAAAATTAGGATATACAAAAGTTTTGTCTAGGTTTTTTAAATTAATCCAATTATTTCTGATTCTGAAAATATGCACAACATCATAAGTTAAATATATGTTCTTATCAGGATTATGTGGATTTGGAATAGAATAACTTTCTGATGAATCCTTTGCTAATTTCCTGAACATTGCTCTATTAATTCGGTGATTATCAGTAACAACACAAATAACTTCAAATCCACATTTTTGAACTAAATTTATCACATGTTCAACCAAAGGTGTCATTTCATCACCTGTTAGATTTGAAACTGTTAGTAATTTGATAATTTCTGTTATGTTTCCAAATGCTGAAGGCTAAAACAGTTTTAGCCATGTCATTTTTATTTGAAATTTGAAAAATACAACCAGAATTTGCACGTTTTCAATAGTTGAAATCCTTAGCGTCCTGAGGCGAGAAAAAACAACGGTCACACTTCTTAGTTTATTTTTAAAGCACAGAAGCACTACAACTGGAGTCTATTTCTCATATATTATAGTCACCGATCATTTTGAACACATACACACACTTTGAAGTTTAAAAAACAAGCTTATCTCTTAATTACAGCCTCTGCGATTCCAAAATCACAAATTGAAAAGGTTATGTTTTCTCAGCGTTTTGAGCGCCGGGAGTAACACTACCACCTACGTTGCCAGATTTCTTTGTTCACGGCTCGTAGTTGACGTCGGCTGTGGTTCTATGTATTGACATGACGCACATATTTTTATTTACCCATGTGCATTAGATGAAATGAATGCGACGTCTCCCGCTTTTATGACTTTTGAAACTTAAAAATCAAAAGATCGTTTTCAGTTATTTTCGATATTTAACCGGTTTCAATTCAATAACAATAATATGTCGGATTCCGAATCAAATTGCTCTGGAAGAGAGAAGCACAACAAAAGATGCGATACTCTCGAATACATAAAAAACAAAACAAAAAAGGAGCGGAACTTTGAAGAAAACCAAACATAGACAGCGAGCTTATAGGAAAGAGTGGGAAACAAAAGAGCCCCCCCCTCCCCGAGACGGAAATTTTCCTTCATCATGAATCCTGAGAGAATCTAAGGATAATGTACGATAATTTTGACGTGTTTGTACGATAATTCCCTGCGACGAATCTGGCAACGCTAATGTGTGTGTTTATGTGGCTGGTTGCGCATCAGCGCAGCGTCTGCGCGCTGCGGATCCTGCCGATTCAGATTTTAGGTTATATTTTGATTTATGTTTTGAATTTGCATCAGATTTGCATATATACATTTGTTTTGATAATAAGGGAGTTCCATGACACTTGTATAATTTTTATAGCATAATCTGAGAATCAAACTTCCTGAAAGATGCATGAGGCATATCAAAAGACGTCATTGCTGAATAATGTTCAGTTTCAGGTTGAATCAATTACTGCTTATGGTAGGAGAAGCAAAGATATCCTCTTTAATGAACTTGTTATACCAATATGATTGATTGATTTTTTTTAGATGATAACTTATTGGTTGGTACCAGACAGGGGCAATTATGCATGTACAATCTTTTGAGAACAGATGAAAAATGTGAAGTGCAGCTTATGAGGTACAACAAGTCTTTTAGCAAGAAACCTGTTCAGCAACTGGAAGTCATACCTGATGGTAGTCTTCTAATAAGTCTAACAGGTAATGCTTCCAGATCCATTCCAGCTATTGTATTATCAAAAACTGCAATGAATCTAAGACACAGACCAACACTGAGACTGTTCATTCCATTCTGATTAAATGCTGCTTTCCAACCATTTTGGAAACTTATGAGAATGTAGCACAGAGATTGTTAGCTACATCAATTTAGCATACCAAAACCCGTTGGACATTGTCATAATTGCAAGTATGGTAACATTTGCAAAACATTTATGATGACAGACCCTTCAAATGACCACATTGCATGGGAAGTAAGGAGTCAACCTACATGGTGTCATTTTTTTTTTAGATAATTTAATTCAGGTTCATGATCTAAATGCTATCCATTTCACAACCCTATCCCAGGTCCAAAAAAGCAAAGGTGCAACATTGTTTGCTCTCAATACAAAGGTGAGTAATGGACACTTTAGCAAATGTCACATGATCAGTGTTTACTGTGGCCATACCATCAGTATTCACTGATCGTTCTATCAATATCAGTGGATGTTTACGTAATCATACACATTAATAATAACTGATATCCTGGTAACATGATCAATAAATATCACATTCTATAATAAATACTGATGGATCACAGTAAATACTGATCATGTGACATTTGCCTTAAGAAGTTCTTCAAATAAATTTCCATAACTCTGGGTATACTAACAATGATTAAATTTTAAATAATCTTGACATATTACATTATTATTGTATTACCTTGTTAGATTGGTTATTATTATAATTCTTCAGATGTACTTTATAATCTATACTGTCGATGTGCTAGTAAAATTTTATTTTGTATATTTCTCAATGCATTCAAACTTTTTCAGTTATTGCATTATGTATCTCTTTTGATTTATTCTTGTAAATTGTTCACATACACTTTCTTAATATTGATGATAATATTTCCTCTTTTGAAATCTACACACAATTTATACATACAGGATGAGGTTTTAGTATGGGCGCGGCCGATAGCGCACTTATTATAAAAAATATTAAAAAAATCTATTTATAAAAATTATAGGCAAGTATGCACTGTTTACTTGGAAAATATGCCGCTTTCCACAGGGTGCTTTTTTTTTAAATCAAATACCCTATATATTTTGATAATAATGTTTATTGGAATATTAATACATAACAGAATAAAAATATGAGTAAATAATGTAATACAAAAAATAATACCCCAAAAGGCTGGAGATTGACATAGTCATCTTTCACCCCCACCTGTGTAGCTAATTTAAATGAAATAGTGAATATCTACAGAATTTTAAATGATAATAATAGTAAGAATGACATATACAGGGTGTTTTCAAAGTAGGGTCATTCATTTTAACTGCTTGTAGGGCTCATCAAAAGGAGTTGATATATCAAAACTCACTTGTATAAAAGTTGCATAATAAAAGAAATAGTAAAAGATTAAAATTCTTAAAAATTAAGGATGTTATTACACAATTTTTTGATATCCTCGACCACTGCCGTGTAAAATCTTAACGTTTTTTGTTTACTACTCTTATCGTTAATCTAAATTTGGCAAAATTTTTGTGTTATTGTATGGTTTTCAGTACGAGTCTTTGGTTTGATCAGTCGTAATCAGTATTTTAATAGTATGTATACTCTAATTTGTGCAAATTATGACCCATGTTTCCAAAAACAAAGAACTAGTGAACATAATATTAACATATGGAGAGTGCCAAGAAAATACAAGCGCAGCATGCAGGTTGTATGCGGAAAGGTTTCCTTTAAGAAATCATCTTGCCCCACGGATGTTTGTAAATTTAGTTATTAGACTTCGTGACACAGGATATGTAAAAGAACAACAAGGAGATCACGCTGGAAGACATGCTCAACCTGAAATGTTACACATTGAGGAAGACATTTTAGAAATAGTCAAAGACGACCCAACAATGATTACTTACTAGAGCCATAGCAGCTCAAGTTGAAGTTTCTCATAGTCAAGTGTGGAAGACAATATGACAAGAACATCATTATCCTTATCATTATCAACGAGAACAAGCGTTAAAACCTGAAGATCATCCTAGAACAGATGCATTTTGCCAGTGGCTTTTAGAACAGTTTGACAGAAATGAAGATTTTACAAAATTAATTTTGTGTACAGACAAGGTCATATTTACATTAAATGGAGTGCACAATCTCATTTTCATTATAGATTTTCATTAAATGTTTGGGCTGCCGTGGTAAGTGGCATGCTTATTGGACCTTACTTTTTTTCACCTTGACTGACCGGTGACATTTATTTAGATTTTCTTTAACACAATCTGTCACAATCATTTTAAGGTATTCCTCTAAATGTGAGGCAGAATATGTGGTTCCTACAAGATGGGGCTCTTCCACATTTTAGACGAGATTTTTATGAACATCTAAATAATGAGTTTCCCAACAGATGGATATGGCGCAATGGAACAATTTCTTGGCCTGCTCGCTCCCAGGATTTAATGCCATGCGATTTTTTTCTTTGGGGCTATTCAAAAGAGTTGGTGTATCATGATGGAGCAGTAAATACTCTGGAAGAATTTCAACAGCGCACTGAAAGGCTTGTGATCTAATTCGTGAATTTTTATTCTCGAATAGCTTGTAAAGAGTCGTGGATTCGCCGAGCAAGATTTTGCGTTAATCGAACAAATGGGGACAAATTTGAACAGTTATTGTAAAAACGGTATCCATTTAATTTGATAACGATTTTTTTAATAATGTAAACTAACTCTTATTATGCAATTTTTATGTAGGTGGTTTTTTGTATATGAACTTCCTTCGACGAGTTAAAATAAATGACTCAACTTTGAAAACAACCCTGTATTCAAAAACTTGTAAATTCAGTAATTTGTAACTTGCAGCATTTTTTTGGAGCTGTGAATGGATTTTAGTTAAAAAAAAATGTGGGTATTTATTTATTATATTCTGAAAAACCCATTCAAAAGCAAAATATTGATATGACATACTCCAGGGTTTGGATTGCTACTTCTGGAGCTACAGCATATTTTGGCTGAGAAATACTCAACTTAGATGGTAAATCAGTCACTTGTGAAGATAGAGCTTTAAACTTTATGTCAAAATCAGCCTCATATTCCGTTGTTTCTCGTCATTTAAACGCTTTTCACAATTTATGGATCGTTGTATATACGCAAAATATACTTATTCTCAAAAAATCCAAATGGTCTTGGTTTATCCTTTTCATAAACTTTATTTTGGTATAACATTTTTGGGGGGTTTAATTACTAAATGCTTTAATTATTTGCAGTTACCCAGAAGTTATAATTTAATAAAATAAATACCACACGATTCATGGTCAGGAAGACTAAAAGTCGCAGGTTTCCACGAATTATATGGAAGCCGTTTATTTAAATTGTAATTTGTGGGAAACTGGAAATAACTCATAATAGTAATACAACCCATACCAAAATGAAGCTTATAAAAAGGATTATCCAAAACCGTGAAAATATATAAATTCCATTTGAATGTTTTGAGTAAGTGCATTTTACGTTTATAAACACCCTAAATAGACAATGCTTAAAATTCTAAAGACGTTGCTACTCTATCTGCAAGATACCGTAGCTTCAATAGTAGCGATTCAAACCTTATAGTATGTTATATTAAACTGCTTCTATTGAAGGGGCTTTCAGAGTATACCCATACCCTGTAAAGGGGGGCGTATTTTCCAATTAAGGAGCCTATGTTTGCCTATAATTTTCGTAAATAACATTTTTAGACATGTTTGTATAGTAACAGTGCTATCAGCCGAGCCCACACTAAAAATTCGCCTTGTATAACTGACGTTATTTTCAAGAAACAAACTTCAATGACTGGCGAAGTCAGCATCATAGTACGAATGGCTGTAGTGGTAAAACGAAGAATGCAACTGTATTATTTGAAAAATAATGAGTTTTTTCCTCTGATGAATGACATCAGCTTGAATGACATACCCAAGGCAATGGTGTGGTGCCAGGAAACTATATGTGTCGGATTCAAAGGTGAATACGCGATCATCGAGGTAAGTTTTGGATTAGTAAACAACTTGAAAGGGAGTCAAAATGGGTGGCGGCGGGATTCCAACCCGCATCTCATCCATTCCGTGGAGTCGGCCTATCCAATTAAGTCTACAGCACTAGCTGTCAACCAACTTTAAGGATCAACTATTACAGGCAAATTCAACCTTACCCTCGCCACTGTTCCATTGTTTTTTCGAGCTGCTTAAGTTGACGTTGAATGTAGTTGAATGCCAGAATCTCAAAACCAAGAAATCTCACAACGAAATTTTAAGATTTATATCGAAAATGATTTAACGAGAAAAATCTACAAACGAGACAATTATTTCAGTAAATGTTTATATTATTATTACTCTGTACAATGCGCAGGTAAGACCTATCCTCGAGTATTGCTCACATATTTGGGGTGCTGCCGCCCCAACTACGTTATCCATGCTCGATGCATGGAGGAGAGCTGTCCGACTGATCAATGACTCTTCTCTAACGTACAGTCTCGGAAATCTTTTGCACCGGCGGGCCAATGGGCTTTGCTGATTGGGGCTCTCCTCCATGATGCCGCTTCGCGCTGCGCCAGTCAGACAGACCCGCCTCGTTTCAGCCTCCCATCCTAACCGTATCGAACTGGTCGATCGCTCCTTTGTCGAGATTGTGGAACAATCTACATGAAGAGGCTTTTCCCAGTACTACTTACTTTAGGCAGTTCAAAAATCGGATTAACGAAGTTTCTTTAGGCTCCTTATAGCGGCCGCGGTTCTCTGGTATTTAGGCTTTTGCCTGCGCGTCTGCTTCTGTGTAAACAAAATATTATTACCAATCTGTTTTGCGTACAAGAAACTCGGAGTTAATCGAATCACTTCTTTGCCAATAATGCTGGGATACTATACTATCAATAAAAACAAAAGTAGCTGTATTTTGTGGAAGGTGCTTACAGGTAACAGTGTCTCATACTTTTCTAGCTTGATGGTGATCCACCTGGTAAACTGACAGAACTCTTTCCCACTAGCAGTACTAGATCCAGTGAGCCATGTATAACAAAGGTGTCTGACACAACATTCGCATTGTGTCGTGATGCTCAGAGTGTTATAGTGAATGTCAAAGGAGATACAGAGAGAAACAAAGGACTCAAGTGGTCTGAGGTCCCATTGAACATTGCTTGGGATGAACCATATGCATTGGGCATTATCACTGATGGTATTGAGGTATGCTGGATAAAATGTCGCTTCTGATTTTCATTGTTATAGCACAGAGTAGTTGTATAAAGGGAAGATAGTTAGACAAGACGAGACAGATGGGATATGACTCCAAAAACATGGCGTCAAAAAAAACTGACGACGTTTAAACAAGGCTGTTCTCATTTATTCAGAAATAAATGCCAAATAGATAATCCATTTTGGAAGGATTCATTGACCACTACTTGCAGTGAACGCATTTTTTGTTCAAATTTAATTTTGTTCGGACATTTATTCATGGTGGGGATATTTATCAGCCATTTGCAGCCTACAGAATATATTTTTGATTCGATAAAGTTATAAATCACACTTTTTATGAGAGAAGCTGTTCTCAAAACTTGTAAGTTATCACATAGCTATTTAATTTTGAGGGTTCTATCCGGAAAACTACACGACGTTTAGAAATAAAAGAAGTCAACTTGAAATTAAAAAGTTTTCTAACCTCAAGTTGCCTATTCGACAATCGTCGGTCTATTTGACATGGTCGTGAGTTATGACGATATGTTTATTTTTTACTATGATTTTTTGACTTTACCACCAAAACCCGTGAAAATGTAGCATTTTATAAATATTTAATGGCAGCTTGACAACACCGCCTCCGTAGCCAACCTAACATATAGTCAACGCCAAACAAAGTGGCGTGCACGTCATCAAGGTGGGTGTGTTGAAAAATTTACATTGTTGCCAAACTTTTTGTAAAATAATAAAATTTATTATTTACATATCTAGGTTTATAAGCAATATGAACCTCAAATGAGAACAAAAATAATAGTATAATAAAATTATAGATCTGTACTTGCATAATCATTAAGTATGACAATTATTGATCAGATGACACTATGAAACTACCATATTTAATTGATAGCTTAAAGGTACTGAATAAAAATCCAAATGGGGTCCTCCAAATTTTATGCATGGTATTTATTTTACAGAATTCATACAGAAAAATGCATTCTAAAATTAGGTAAGCTACTGGTGTAAGCTTTTTCTGTACAATAAAGTTAGTCGGAGTTTCTTTCTTCAGCGCTGTCTGAATCTGAATCTTCATCACTCTCAAAGTTGATTATTAAAGGTTCGATGTCTGGTCGATCAAAAATTCGTTCTCTTTCATACCATTTAAAAATTTCTTGCTCAGTATGTCGAACACTATTTTTCCACATGTCTGGGGTAACCGTTTGTAGAGCCTCGTTCCACATATCCAAACAGTCTTTTTCACTGTTACCATCTCTACCAATATGTCTGTTATAGTAACCTTTTGCTATGCCCCAAATTAACTCAATAGGGTTAAATATACAATGGTAAGGAGGCAGACGAAGAACTTTGTGCCCATGTTGTTCCGCCAATTCATCAATCACGTATATTTTAGGTGGTTTGTTTCTAAAAAAGCAGTTATTTTAAGAATAGGAATAAACAAAAGAAATATAAACTGTCGACCAAAATATATATAATTAAGAAGCATTATGTACCGAGCAACAATACTCAATAGCTCTGTTTTAAACATTGTGTTTAAAAATGGTATGTTTTGATTTGTCAACCAGTCTTGGATATTTTTTTTTGTCCATGCATTGTTGGGCACTTTGTTCAATATCATGCTGTGATAAGGGGCGTTATCCAGTATAATCATAGATGGACTCTCCAATTTTTCTAATAACTGATGTTGAAAACATTTCAAAAAATTGTCCTGGTTCATCTCTCCATGGTAATCGCTCAATTTTGTTTTCGAAGAAAATATCGCTTCACTACCCTCAATAAACCCATTTTCATTTCCAGCATGTAATATAATGTATCTAAAATATATTAGTTTTAAATTTTATAGTGCAAATTGTGTAAAAGTACATACCTTTTACCATCTGTTTTAATAGCTTTCACGCTTTTTTGGTTTCATCGAGGAAGACAAACTGGTATAAGGCCTCAACCTTGGCTTGATTGTATTGCCTTAGAAATTACACCCTTTTCAAAGCTATACTTGGTAGTTCCATGAGCCCTCGTCGCGGATTGTCCTTAAGCCACTTAAATCCAAGATCTCTAAGCAACCGCCTTAAAGACGTGGCACTACCATCAAATAATGCCCTATCTCTTAATCGAGACCATAAAGTTTGTATCGTAACTTGTTCTTCTGAAACCATGTGTAATATGACATTATAATTTAGTTAACAAATTAATGCAAATTTCTGATAAGTTATTATAATAAGATCTTACTTTTGTGATACATATTATAGATCACTTCTCGAATGGCACTTGTATCCAATGTCGCTGTGTTGGTTACACGTTTAATATAACTCCGCTTTTTCTTGGGCGATTCTAAATTTGCATCACTTTTCACACCCTCGGAAATACGACTAACTGTCCTTAAACTAATTTTTAAAGCAGCAGCAACACGCTACAAAAAATGAAATAAAATTTCACTATTATTAATATACATTACATATAATTATTAGTAACCTACCTCTTGAACAGCATTTAAAGGCAACAAAGGCCCGTTGTTGCCCCTTTCTTGCTCAAAGTAGTGCATTAACGAGGCCACGAGTTCCTTACACCGACTATTTAACTGTTTGGGCATCTTTATATACCAAAATTGCCTTTATCTACTCGTAAAATGAATAATTTTGTTTTGAAACAAACAGTTGTTGATTTACAGTATGCGGGGCCAAAGGATTTATAAAGATTTGAAATGCCACAAATTGATTCAGTGTCAAAATTAATACAAATGTCAGTTCCCAGTTTAAATAAGTTTCAAGGTGACAATGTCGATAAGTGATTGGAGCGTTTGCAAAACATTTTATTTCGCATAATGCGTCTAAATTTATCAGAAAGCAACTTATGTGATATTTTAATAACAATGTTTATATGACTATTAACCATAATAAGAGAGTAATGACCATTTTACAATTTATATATCACATTAATATGAAACTGCAATAGAGCAATTGTTTGTGATAGAAACCTAGGCATTAGGTCGGGGAATTTTTATCGTGATGACGTGCACGCCACTTTGTTTGGCGTTGACTATAGATCGCTGTTTTTATTTTTAACCCCGAAATAGCCCAAGAGCCGACCGCATTGCGTACTGATATGGAATATTAAAAACTAGTCAAAATACGTAAGATGTGACTTGTTTTTATCGTATCATATCAGTACACGATGATGTAACAAAAAATGTATGATCTGCATTTCTACTACACTACTCAAAAAAATTAAGGGAGCAAGATGAAATCCAAATTTTTCTGTGATCTTTGGCAGGCTATATTTCAGTGAAAAAATGCTCGTATCAAGACTTTTAAAAATGCATTTAGAAGCTCTAAGATTCTAGTTGTTAGTTTTTTCCGCAGAAAAATTTTAGGAGCAAAGGTTCTCATGCAATTCTAGCAGATAGCACAAGAAAAATGTTTTGCAAAATTTTTGACTTCGTTTTAGTCGACAAGCTTGAAAAACATTTTTTTCCGTTAGGTCGTCATATGCATCGGATAACCGGCTTGTTCAGCTTCAATATCTGTTTTTAAAATCTCGATACGATCATTTGACGCGGAGACATCCGATTATGAATGAAAAAGGATCCCTGTGCCTTCCACCAATGATATCTATGTAACCAGTGATCGCACAGAGAATGTAACTGTATTTCCGAAAACTGGAATAAAGCCCCAATAACCAAAATCTACCGTGCAACTGCTAATATTTTCATGTCTTTTATATCTCAGTACCCCTAATAACCCCGCACGACGGCAGATCGATCCATTGTACATTTTATCCGGACCGATTGGTCAAAATTTAAAAGAAATCAGAGAAGCAACATTTTTGCATCAAAACATGTAATCTGATTGAAAATGGAAAATCATTTTTCTTGTTTTGTTGTCACTATTGGATATCTAGATCTTCTATTTAAAAAAAAGCTATAATTGGAAAAAAATTAAGTTTTATTCCAGTTTTTGGAAATTCTCTTACATTCTCTGTGCGATCACTGGTTACCGAGATATCAGGAGTCGACAAAAAGATCATCCTTCATTCAAAGTCGGATATCTCGGCGCCAAATGATCGTATCGAGACTTTAAAAACATAATATTGAAGCTGAATAAACAGGCTATCCGAACATAGAAAGTTGTTTTTCAATCCCGTGAACTAAATAAAAAGAGGAAAAGTTTTTCAAAAAATACAGCCTGTCAAAAATTACCGAAAAATTTGGATTTTTTATTACTCCCTTAATTTTTTGATTTATTATCATTATTACATGTAGTTTATTCAAGTGATTCACTGCTACTCAGTTGAGCTAAGCGCAATCAAAACATCCCTTCGAGTAAAAACACGTGTGTGAATTTTCCGCAAACAGTTAATATGCCTTTACAAAACGTTGCCATTTTGCGTAAGAGAAACAGATTTTTTCAAGCCCGTGGAATAAAAAGAAGGCAAAAATTTTACAAAATTTTTTTCTTGCACCATCTGTACAAATTGCATGAGAACCGTCGCTCCTAAAATTTCTGCTAAAAAGCCTGAACACTATCGTCTTAAAGCTTCAAATGCTTTTTTAAAGTCTGGATACGACCATTTTTCACCGAAATATAACCTCTCAAAGGTTACCGAAAAATTTGGATGTTTTCTTGCTCCCTTAATTTTTTTGAGTAGTTTATAATGCAATTGACTCCCAAGGTCAATGGGGCTGACCAGCGGATTATAAAGGCATTCCACGAAGTGTCTTCGCTTGATATAACTACTGTTTGGTTATGGTGAGATATAAAGGAAAAATGCTAAACATGTGATTTTGCATCGTTTTTCATCCATATTTTCTTGATCCAGGTATTAACTTTAGAGCCTAGTGGTCTGGTACAGACATTATCAGGTATGCCAAAAGTGAGGTTCATAGCCTCTGCTCAACAGGGTTTGCTCTATGCAGCTGCTATTAGTCAGATTTGGTGCATTCTAGCTGTGGATATAGCTAAACAAAGAAAGATTTTAGTGGATGCAAAACAGTTTCAACTAGCACTTAAGCTAACTGTAAGTACTATGAAAAGCCCTAGTGTTCTACCCGTTTTTTTCCTATTGTTGTATTTGGATGCTCACTTCCAATTCTTGTCAGATGGCGTCACAACCATGTTGCCAAGTAGGATCGCAGTAATTCCCATAGGAGTATTAAAAATTAACTCCATTCTCCTTTTAAACAAATTTGTTTATTGAAACGTTTGCTTTCCGTCTCCGTAACCACGACCAACCGCAGACAGCTCTGTTTCGTGCTCATTAGTAATTATTGGGTACGGTCTTTTGAAACACTCACAACACACCTACCAATGGCGTAACAAGGTGATCATCATCATCATCCCTTACGATGAAGATGACGGTTAGACCTCTAAGCTACCGGCTCATAACTGCTCGGGCTTCGAATAAAAGTCGTTAGATTTTCATCAGCTATCAGAAGGTGACTTTCTATTCGATCTTCATTCAAGGTCAACTTCAACATTTTAAGTGTAAACCCCTATTTCTGAACCCGGCAATGAAATTTTTACATTTAAAAAGTCTAAATTTGACCTTCAAATAACCTTTAAAGTTTAATCCAAGGTCACCACCGACCGATAGTTGAGGGCAAACCCTACAATTTTTATTTGTAGCATTTTGCCCTAAAATGTATTCTCAAAGAGTTATCGAGCCATTCCGGTACTTTTGCCATACCCTATATGAATAAATATGTTACACGACTGAAATGGAGATGTTTGCTTTCGGTCCCTGTAGCCACGACCAACCGGATGCAGTTATGTTTTGTGCTCATTAGCAATGTATCAGTGCAGTATAGGTCTAGTAGTTCTGGAACGGAAAGCAACCAAGTGCGACACCCATCTGTAGAACGTCGAGCAGTTATAAGCAGCAGGGTTTTTACGTAAAAAAATCTATATGTGGTCAAAAAAATCTATAAAACGTCAACTTGTACACTAGGTAGCTGCTAGTGTCGTGTTAGTTTCCACGCCTACTACAAGTGAGCATGGAAACAGTCTCAGACATAGCAATGCCGAGAATTCACAAACCACTTCAGGGTCCCTTGAAACTTGAGAAACCCTCAATGGTTATTTCCTGTTTCATAGTGGCTGGGCAGCGACAGCTCAATTGAGGGTCACTCACGGGATTATGAAGGGTTTCTGGAATTTATTGAGAACAACGAGAAATCACAATTGAGAGGGTGGCAAGAAGATATTTGAGGGAACAACTGTTTAGAGGCCTACGATATAGATTCTCAAAACTCACAGTAAGAGACAACATAGCAAGATTAATTCATGACGACTTAAATAAGTCGACCGGCAGAGGATTATCAATTCTACTAATATAACAATTATTTGCTGCAATCCGTTTTTATGCTAGTGGAAATTTTCAGGTTTGAAATTCTGAGAAAGCATTTTTGTATATTTGCCTATACAAATTCTTTGTTCGTTTGTAAATTGTCGATGGCGATGTTCGAGGATATCACAATTAACTGTTTCCAAAATTATGAAAAGTATATCTGAAGCGATTGCTCCTCACCTACCCAATCGCGTTAGGTTCCGCCGAATGTTCACGCTCAAATAATAATGATTAGAAAGTTCTTTTTAATGTGTAATTTTTCACCAGTCTCATTATGAGTTGATGGGGTACATATAGTATATAAATTAAAAACCCAAGAGAAGAAGTAGGAGAGATTTTCCGAAAAAGAAAAGGAAACTTCTTTTAATGTTCAGGTTGCAGGTTTGAATTTATCAGTAGAAATGTATGAAATAATATGAAATAACAGGTTGCTTTTTGCTTTTGATTTAGAGATGTCCTATTAGTATTTTCGCCGTGTGTTCATAACTACAAATTTTGGTGATAATGAGTTATACTTCATTATAATAAATGTTTTGATTACACCTAAGAAGATTAAAACTTATTTCGCATACCTGCCTAAAAAGAAACAAGGAGCACGAACATTCAGTACAGTAAGGATAACCCTTAATTAATACGTTAGTCAATGCTTTATCTCATTGATAAACGTATTCAACCTGATATAACTTGAAATATACAGATATTCACGTATTCATATAAAATATATCTAACAGGAAGTTCCTCTAGCTTGAATACTCCACATAAAAATAAGGTTGGTTTCCACGATGGTTCTTCAGACACAACGACAATTTTTCAAAAGCGTGTTTATTCAAATATATATCTTGCAATAAAGGCAAGTACAATAAACAAATGGAACAAAAATAAACACTCCTAAACAACTTTTTAGCAATAGATAAAAGATTAACATTGCAACAGACAAAATAACTAAACTCTGGGCGCTGAAGAAAGACATTAAACGTAAACAGTGATCAGCACGTGAACAGATCCCTCGAAAGCATCCACGGATATACTCCAGTCACTTTAGGTCTAAACATCCTCGGCAGTGTATTTCTAGTGAATCCACAGACCCTTTTTCGTGTCATCTTGAGACTAGAAAAAGGATGACTGTTAAAATAAGTTACCTTGATCTTTCATGAGCTCCCAGTACAAAACATCATCGATATATTTTTGATGTAGGAACAACAAATTGGTTTAGAAAACATCCACTTTGAACCTAAATTGACTGGAGTAACATCGATCTACAGACAAATTCAAGGTCACTAGCAGTCGTCGGCGCTCTACGAATCTGCACAGGTTTGGACTTGTAAACGTGATTGTAGATGACACGACAGGCATCTAACAGTTAATTCACGCACAGGATTGCATTGCATACGCATTACGCATTCAGTAGCGTATACTCGTTTTTCGCGAGTGGAACGTTTTGTTTATATATTGCCTCTGACACAGATACAGCCGACGAAGTGGTTGACATCAGCGCAACCCCACCCAAAAAAAGGGCTAAGAAGCTACATTTAAGTGCAAATGAAAAACAAATAATATTAAATATATACAAAAACCAAATTCAAGAAAAACCCGATTTGGTCGTGGACGAAGTTATATGTAAGGTAGCACATATTTCTGGAGTATGTCGGTCCAGTGTTTATAGGATCATTAAGGAATATGGGAGCACTCACTCACTTTCTGAGCCAAAACCGTATCCTGCAAGAAAAAGGATAACGGACGGAGTAGATGACTTTGACAGAACTGCCATCAGGAGGAAAGTGCATAATTTTTTCTTCCGAAATGAGATACCTACAGTAGATAAGATATTAAGATTAGTTAATGCTGATGAGGATCTTCCATCATTTAAAAGAACCACATTCCGAAAACTTTTGAAGGAACTTAATTTTCGATTCTTGAAACGGGGAAGAAACAGTATGTTAATAGAGAAAGAAGAAATTGTTGTGTGGAGAAGGGAATACCTTAGGAAGATTCGGAAGTTTCGCGATGAAAAAAGAAAAATTTACTATTTGGACGAAATGTGGGTGAATGCTGGACATACTCAAGCGAAAGTTTGGGTAGACAAATCAGTAACATCATCAAGGCAGGCTTTTCTAGACGGTCTTTCGGCTGGATTGAAAAATCCTGCAGGTAAGCTCCTTCATCTATCCGGCAATTTAATTTTGATAAATTCGGGCAAATAATATGCTGTGATAGCAGATAATGTGTGATATTCTCCAAAAATGGTGCATTCGCAGTGTAGTCATTAGGAAAAAAACTTCGACCCTCTTTTAAGCGTTATTTTGAAATTTATTATCATTTTTGGGTGCAGTCAATTTGCTTTGAATGGGTTTTGAGAAGTTGCAAACTTCAATTTTCTACGTTTTTCAGTTTTTGATCAGCATTCCGTGACTCTTAAATTCAGCTAAATGAACTCAATTGCCTCATTCCTTCAAATTTAATCAATCCATAGTGTAAGGAATAATTTATTTCCAGGAAAAGGCAAACGGCTGATCATTTGTCACGTAGGTAGTGAAGACGGCTTTGTTCCCGAAGCACTGTGGGCCTTTGAATCAAAAAAGACAGGGGACTATCATGAGGAGATGGACGGCAATTCCTTTGAAAATTGGTTCTCCAAAATGTTACTAAAGCTGGAGAATAACGCTGTTATTGTACTGGATAATGCCCCGTACCATTCTAGAAAAATAGAAAAAATTCCCACAATGGCAACTAAAAAAGCAAACATACAACAATGGCTGGCCTCAAAACAGATCGATTTTGATGAAACAATGGTCAAGGGTGAATTGATAAGTATAGTCAATAGACATAAATACAAATACGATTTTAAAATGATCGACGAAATGGCCAAAAAACAAAATAAAACTGTCTTGAGACTGCCACCCTACCATTGTGAGCTGAACCCTATTGAGCTGATTTGGGCCAACATAAAGCAATACGTGGCGTCGAATAATAATACTTATAAATTTTCTGATGTTAAAAATCTCTTTCACATCGCAGTCAATAGAGTTACGGCAGAGGAATGGAAAAACTGTATCCGCCACGTTCGGGAGAAGGTTGAGGTCAAAATGTGGGATTTGGACAATGTCATCGATACCCAAATTGAACCTCTAATAATTCATTTTAACGATTCAGAAGATTCAAGTTCCTCTTCTGAATGAGTGCGCGCAGCTTACTTACTAATAACTAAAAAGTGTAGTTAACTCATTTGTGAATCTCTAACTGAAATTTACTGTAAAAGATAATAATTATCTTGTATGAAATTTTTGATGACTACCCATAATATCTTGATGCGGTCCTGTAATGTCTCCTGCGCCTAAACACTCACTCACGAGCAATATGCGTGTATTTGTTTGGGTTTAGTTTCTTTCTTCAGCGCCTAGAGTATAAACTTTGGAATTCTCAGTATACGTATATTCTTTTGGTATCTGCTTTCCTTGTCCTGTAGGCTGCTTGGAATTCCTTTGGATCATTATCTGTTAATTGTACAAATTGCTTATTTTTCCCTAGGGTTATTACTTCTTTCGTATGGATACACCATCGGTTTTTATGATTCGATAACATCTTTGTATTCTACAGATAGATTGCATAATAGGAATGTTTCAGCCTCTGAAGAGTATTTTGTCATTTTGATCTTTCAGATCATGACGTTGCCAATTTCGAGTACATTAGGAAACGCGTGACGGTCACTTCATTGAGGTTTCCTCAAATGTACTTGTGAGTGGCGATTGAGAATATGACTCTCAAAGGCGGTGGTAGGATATCATACGCAGTTGGCGATGCCACGGTATATATGCTTATTTTCACGCAGAAACTGCTTTCAATGTGGTTGAGTATCTTCTGGTGGAATATGTTAATCAATGCTCTAAGCAATTCCAAGCTACCTGGAAATTTGTAAGCAAGCTGTTTTTAACTTATATATTTTTTGCTTAAAGCAAATTTCGAATGAGTCAGAAGAGGAGAAAAAAGAAAAAACTCACCATATCCAAACTTTGTTAGCGTACGACCTCTTCCACAGAAAAGAGTTTCATGAAAGTATGAAGGAATTTCTGAAACTAGGTACTCCCGCTTATGACGTTATTAGACTTTTTCCAGATCTGTTGCCTCAAGCTCAGGCAGCTGACACTGTGGAACCCGTCAGGGATCTCACTGAAAAAGAGCTGGAAGCTAGCAGATTAGCCCTTATTGATTATTTGACAGAAATCAGACATAGGTTACACGCCCCAGAAACTCAGGTACATGCTCAAAACACGAAGTTACAATATATATATATAGAGTTCCAGAAACTTCCTGCTCATATATTTTTGTGTTTTTAAGGCCAATGTGAACGCTAGGGGGAATTTAAACGAAAGAACAGCCAGCAAATCCACACAGCAGCTTCTTCAAATTATAGATACTACATTATTGAAGTGTTATCTCCAAACAAACGATGCATTGGTCGCACCTCTTTTGAGGCTTAACCATTGTCATTTGCAGGTAATTGTCAGGAAAAATATCCTACCATTTGTCTTTAGTAACTCCAGTTAGACGTATGTATATTTAAACTTCAGTGATTTTCCTACTGGAGAATAAAATAACTATTCTTGTTCATATCTCAGCAATAATTAGTTTACAACGAAACTTTTCCGATCAGTTTCGGTTCTGGGTTTTCGGGCGCCTTCGGAAGGGGTCGGGCTGATATTTTGATATCCACCTACATGTTTTCATTCTTTTCGTGATTGTTCTCTTCATGTATTGTCGTTTGTATCGTATTGGTAGTAAGCTTGTTTTTAGCCATTTAGGTGCCCCTAGGCATATAGCAGCTATGGGCCTGCTTAAAAACTATAATTTTTGAGGTCGCCAAGTATCTAAATTAAAGTTAAAACCTTGCTTTACCAGACTTTAAAGAGTAGTTTGAGATTACTTTATTTTAAAACGATTTCAACTTTGTTTTTCAGGCTAAAACTTTTGGTCTTCGCAGATTTTACATAAATCAAGTTTTTTCAATATCGTTTTTCATTTTGTTTTTTTATACAGGGCTGACGAAAAAGAAGACTATTGCTCTAATTTTAGTACACGCTGTATATTAACCAAAGGTTGCAAACTTTGAAGAAATATGTTATTTTGTTTTTTAAGAGAGAGGAGTATATCCGTTTTATTAGACTTTTTAATTATATCTGGCATAGAGACTTATTATTGAAAACAAAGACTGATTTCTGTAACATTTGCTGACCTTGTGTATCAACTAGGAGACGGTTTTATAAAGTTTGGTTTCTGTTGAAAACCTAGTGTCAGTCGGGCATCAGTATCAATTTACTCAACATCACTAAAAGACAACAAACTGTTGCTTCATGTTAAATTGGTTTGATTTCTTAGGAGACAGAAAAGATACTGAAAAAGATGGGCAAGCACAATGAACTGATCATACTCTATCAAACCAAAGGACAACATAGAAGAGCGTTAGAGTTATTACACGCAGAAAAGAGCATTGAGAGAACTGTAAGTTATTTACAGCATTTAGGTTCTGAGCATATGGGACTGATTTTGGAGTTTGCTGATTGGGTTTTAGAAGAATCACCTGAGGATGGGTTAAAGGTAAATGTCACTTGGAAGATTCTATGTTATTCCAATCTATACCAATTTATTTTATGTATTCTCTTAACTGTTTTTTAGATATTCATAGAAGATATAGCAGAAGTAGAAGCACTTCCTCGACCCAGAGTGTTGGACTTCCTGCTAAAATCTCACACATCTGTGGTTATACCTTATCTGGAACATGTAGTTCATACATGGGATGATACTAACTCACTATTTCACAATGCTCTTGTCCATCAGTATCGTGAGAAAATTATGGCAGGTAATCTCTTCCTATTTTCCTTCTATACTTCTGAGTGTACGATTAGAAATGACTTGAGGTTTAAATTCTTTATTCGCGATTACTATCGAATGTGCTTGTGGTTTAGCCATCACATACAGCATCATCATCAGCTTTAGATTCCTAGAATTACTTTTCAAGTAAAATTTTGTTTGTTGACTTTGTCATTGGGAAATAGCTCCACGTTAACAAATAGCTCTTTCATAAATGAAGAAATGGTAAATCCTACAACTTTCTTTATTTTCCGGCAATTCATCAGCCAAAACTTGCAATAAAAAAATAAAAAATACGCACGTTATCAATAATGCACTGCTTCTCATCATAAATTTCTCTTTATTCAACACTAACGGATTTATCCCTTTATTGCAATATAATAACCCAACTGAGCACAGCCTTAGTACTCAGTGAAGTGATTCTCTCTTCCAAAATCTGATTTACTTTCCTAAGATACAGAGTGGCCGATATATAACTGACTGGTTTGTATCTTGAATATTTGTGAAATGAAATAAAATCGTCCATTTTTTTCATCTTAATCTCAGGGCGCTCCACTACACTTTCACGAACTCTCTCGATATTTTCCGGAGTACGAACAGTTCGAACACAGCAAGTCTTTAACTTCACCTGTTGTTAAAATTTCCGCACCAACTGACGAATGGCGTTGATACTGGGCACATTATTTAGACCGAAATCTTGTCGTATCTTCCGAATCGTTGCAACAATCGACTCATTATTTAAGTAAAACGTTTTAACAATACCGACGCGTTGTGGGATGGTGTAGCGAGCAATTTATATGTTATATGTTGACCACCCTGTATATGTAAAAATTAAAGCATTTACAAACTACGTGTGGACTATTAAAACTCGAAGTCGAACACTGTTTCTGCGGTGTTGGTTATAATAAACATATTGGTGTTTGACTTTCAGGAGCGGCAGTAGCGGCACATACAAAAAAGAAACTGATCGACTTTTTGGAACGTAGCAAATATTATATACCAGAAAATGTTCTTAACGAATTTCCTACAAATAATTTGTTAGAGGAGAGAGCTATAATTCTTGGAAGGTTAGGAAAACATGAAGAGGCACATACCATATATGTCAGAGCTTTGGGTGATATTGACAAAGCAACTGAATATTGTAAGAAGGTGTATGACAAGAACTTACCTGGATATCAAACAGTAAGCACTCCCAATAATTTAATCGACTACCCGACTGTATTAAATGAAATTGTAGAACTTTTGACCCCTGAAAATATTATTTTTGTGTTACTGATTTTTTAGGTTTACGTGTCACTGATAAAACTAATCCTCAACCCAGACAGTTGTACCTTATCATTGCCAGGTCTAGTACTATGCCCCAAAACTGCTCAACCGGATTTAGAATTAGCATTGAAACTTCTGAAAGAACATGCTTGCCACATGGATCCTCTGGACGCCTTGAGTATACTTCCAGACAATGTACCTGTTTCAAGGATTGCGAAATTCCTGTCTGTGGCACTTCATAAGGTATGGCTATAATTAAAAATACAAAGGGTACTATAAATGTTTTGCAATATGACTTAACAAACGAACGCATGTTAAGACATGTTCATGAGTGCATAATAGCCGCCAGCAGCACGTCTGTTGATTTAATTATTCATTCGATAGTGTAAAGTGCTGACTATGTCATCGTGGTCACGTAGTGAGATAAGGGCAGGCTTAAGGTATAACTTTACGCGTTGTTCAAAGATAAACCAGTGCTTAGAAGAAATGACGCTTACATTAAAGAATGATGATAGGTGGTACAGAGAATTCCAAAGGGGCAATTTCACTCTGGAGGACGCTGAGAGGGAAGAAAGGCCGCGACGTCAGTAACAACGGAAAACATTTCTGTTGTGAGGAAAAAGCTTGACGAAGGCCGGAGTGTGACATACCAACAGATAGAGGATACCTTACACCTTCATGCACCAGCAATTTATTCAATTCCGCATGACCATTTACAAGTTAGGAAACTTTGTTCTTTCTACCGCATAGTCTGACGGAAGAGCAGAAGATGCTGAAAATGTTTGATAAGGGACAATCTCCCAGTCTCGGTATGTGAATAGCATCGTTACAGGTGACGAGACTTGGCTCTATTATTACGATGTGCCGACTAAGGTTCAAAACAAAGTTTAGGTCTTTGATGATGACACACCCGTAGCTGTCAGAAAATCCCGATCTTTCAAGAAAAAAATTATAGCTGAATTTTTCATATCGAGCGAGATTGTAGACCTTGTCGTTTTGGACACACAGAACACAGTCACAGCTAAGTGGTACACGGAACAATACCTGCCTAAATTCATGGAGTCTATGAAAAACCTGCGAACAAAGTCAAAAATGGACACTTGGTACCTCCACCATGACAACGCTCCAGCTCACCGCACCAAAGCCTGAACCGAGTATTTGACCACTACTGGACTGAAACTTATCGAGCACCCTCTTTACAGTACAGATCTTGTTCACTGCGACTTTGCACTGTTTCCGCATGTTAAAATGAAGCTAAAAGGGAAACGGTTTTCTAGCGATGAGGACCTTCTGAGGGCTTGGGGACAACAAGTGTGCCGCACTCCCGGGTGAAACTTGGCAGAGCTGGTTTAAGGACCGGTTGTGGCGGATGGAGAAGTACATTGAATGTGGTGGAAATTACTTTGAACGAAGTCAATAAATAAAGATGTATTGCAAAACTTTCATAGTGGCAGAAATTCATTCAACGTGTTCTTTGGAAAACTCTGTCCGACTGAATGATGACACTTCCCTAACATGTATCAAGTCTCATACCGGCGCGCAGTTAGTGATCTACATCTTTCCTATCGATATACCAACGGACTTTGCTCCTCTGAGATGTATTCCATGATACCACCACGCCTTAAGCCTGCCAGCCGAATTCTCCGGACTTGCTACTTATTCTAACTCTGTCGTGAACTGACCGGTACGACAGATCGTTTGTCCATCGAAATATGACGGCACAATTAATTTACAGTTTTTATTCGAGTTTTAACGCAAGTATGGATGATATCTTTTTAAGCTTTTAACTATTTGTCCTCACTGTTCGATGTTTATTGTGTTTATATAGGTATGTATTACTAACAGATTCTCCCACCATTTTTTTATATCATCTTCAATGATTTTTATCGGCTAGACGAACATTTTTTGTGATAAAAGTCGCTGTATATGTATATATTTCCACCGTTACAGATTGAACACATTTCGATTATTACGCTGTATCTGTATTGTGATTTAACCTGTTAAAATGTTCACTTTTTTGTAATTGTAATGACCTTGTTTATTCTATATTTATAAGTACTTTTCCGGCATATTTGCTCAAACGCATATATGACCCTCAAATTCATATTGACAAGTCTTATATCATGTAACATGATCTAATAGGACAATCAACGATCTATCTGTCTATCTATTTTCCCAATGTCTTCCGCAGTTCTACTGAACTTAGGCAGTTCAAAATCGGAAAAAATATCCCTCACCCTTCGTTGCTATTTTAGAAGGACAAAAAACATGTTTGTTATATAAATCCTGTGGTGATAGAATTCTCGAGGCTGTTGGTTGCGTGCCTAAAGATTGCGTCGTATGAAATGTTTCTAAATTTCATAATTGTTGTTTTCTGAAATTGTATCCACACTTCTAATGTCGATTGCACTCTAATTACTTTCAGGTGATACAGGAAAGAAGAAATGTACAATTGATGAAAGGTTTGCTGTATGCTGAGCATCTTCAATGTCAAGAGATGAAGTTAGCCTTACAAAGCCAACATGTACTTGTAACCGAGCTGAATGTGTGTCCAGTTTGCAAGAAACGATTTGGAAATCAAAGGTGAATTTGTTATTTTCGTCTAACTAATCTAATTCATAGTAAAAGTAAACAAAACGTTCATTATTTTTTCTTTGCAGTGCATTGGTACGTTATCCCAATGGAGATGTTGTGCACTTTTCATGTCAAGAAAAAAAGCCTCATGAGGATTTCTGAGTTCTAAGTAATGTGATAGCCTTTTAACTAGGACATTTAAAATATCTATGTCTGTAATTCTATTTTCAATGTTTTATTTTATATGTTTATGTTTGTTTATATTTTTGTATATAATCTTTATTAAATATTATCAATACAGGTTACGTGTTTTATATATGTCTTATACAGTGGGAAAGTTCACATTTCAATCTGAATTACGCGGCAACCGGATACGTGAGGAAGTGGTCGCGTTTGGCGTGCGGGTTAAATAGTAACAATAGAACGTTGGACCGGAACGCAACGTGCATTTGCTATCGAGGCTTACTTTAAGCAGCTAACGCAGCTGCCCTCCGGAAATTTTATACAACATTCGCCGACCAAGAGATGCCCTAAGAAGAAGCTATTGAAAAAGTGGATTAAGAGCTTCCGTGAAATAGGCTCTAAACTTAGTCAACCCATTCCTGGCCCTACCCCTACTTTATCTACCGAAGAAAATGTGCGTCGAGTAAGTGATTCGGTCATTGCAAATCCTCGGCGTTCTGTACGGAAGCATTCCGCTGCTTTTTGAATCCTTAGGTCAACACTGCATGGCATAATAAAGAGAAAAATGGGTTTTCAACCTTATAAAATTCAATCAGCCCATGCTCAAAGGAAAGTGATTACGTATTACGAAAATCTTGTGCTGAACGGATGTTGAATCTTTTTCCTACGCAGAACGTAAATTAGCTAAAACCTACACCCATCGCGGCTCAAAGAAATTAAAACAATACTAATGTGAACATGAAAATTAACTACAACTTTCCACTTAAAAACGATAATTTTTCAACTTTAACGGCCTTCGACAAAAAAAAAACCGTTCGCTTGAGATAGGGCAGATACTTACTTTTTTTAACAACCTCGATTAATCTGGGGTAGATTTTGATCGTTTCTAGTACCACTTCAGGGGTAAAAGCGATTCATGATAATATTTATCTCGTTCGGCTAGATTTTTGACTACCCAAAGACGTTTTACCTCAAGGCCACAATCGTCCAAAAGGTCTGCTACTGTTTTCTTCTTCTTCAGTTCTATTGAAAGGCCGACATCTACAAACCTAGGGTTGTCTAGATTATTATTTATTGAAAACCTGAACTGGTGAAATCAAAAAACAAAAGTGTACATTGTTTGAGCTTTAGAAAACGTGTATATCTCATAGTTGCATCTACTATGTGAGCGACAATTTATATGAAATATTTAAATTTGAACACCCATCTTAACAAACAAAAAATGAAATATATAAAAAGCAATACGAGCAGTTACCTGTCCAAATGTTAACCCCGACCGACGCTGCTTAACTCGGGCAATTGGATGAAATATTGAGAGGCGACGCTTTCACTGACATTATTCTTGTGTAAAATTGTTCGCTCACGAACTAGTTCGTTTTAGGGACGGCGACGTGAAATGAACTAGCGCTGATGGTGTGGTTGACTAGTGTAGTTCAGCATCATGCCAGATGGTCGATACTTAGAGCAGGGAAGAAACTAGCGTTAGGGTTATTAAATGGGTGGGGACTATGGACTAATTGTATGAGCCTATTTGGCTGACTTAAGCCATTTATTTGTTTATAGATATTTGTAGGTAGTTCAGGCTCGGTTTGTGCGCTTCGCCTACCCTTCAGCTCTTGACATGATGGAGTGTCTAGCAGTGCAGACGTTTGTGAACGGCGAAGCTCAGCAGGCACTTCGATTGGTCTATCCAGAGACGCTGGTGGATGGTTTGACCTACGCATTAGAATTTGAAGCCGTCAAAGAAACACCCGAGCGAGAGTGGCTAGCGAAGAAGCGGAAGAAGGTAGTCCTAGTCAGCAAACCTTTCTAGGCGCTGCTCAACGAAATAAAGGGTTCCCTTTCGACTAGAACAGATCGTCGCGATGGGGCAATTACAAAATGTAACCCCATGCTACTGTACTAGTGGCTTCAGTACAACACCAGGATGGAAGTTTGTACGTGGATGGAAAACTCAACTGCAGGGCATACGCATACCTGGTGGACACCTGAGCCATGGAGACCATCATGAGGCCAGGCCACCTTTAATCAGATCTGGCCTCAAGGAATGCTATTTTTGCCGCTGATCCTTCCATCCACGTATTTGAAGCTCTCTCCTCGGCTGTTCTTATTAGCTTGCATTCTCTTCGGAAGTGGACCAAATCTCCACGGTTTCAGCAGCGGCCAGTGGCATTGTAGGACGGACCAATCAAAGTGCATGCTGAGCTTAACCGTCGTGAGTGCCGTCCACAAATGTCTGCGCTGCTAGACATTCCATCATGTTGTTACGAGCTGATGGATAGGCAAAGCGGAGCAGCGTCCGCTTCGTACTCCTGCAAACTTTCGTTTGCTGTCTGTCGACGGTTTTTTGTCTGCGGCTGCTATACCTGCTCCAGATGGGCGTGTCCATACCGCATTTCCAAGCGCATGACGAGCTGCGTCTAGTTGTCCACGTAATCCGATACTGTCTGAAGAACATCCAGGACGTCTCCTTTGAGGGCTACAGTCATTGAGACGGCCTTATCCTTGCTGGACCAACCATTGGCTCGAGCTGCTGCCTCGAACTGCTTCAAACAGTTTGGCCAGGACGTCTTCTCATCTAATGTGTGAGGTTTCAGCGTGACTGCAGAAGGTATAGGCTCTTCCTGCTTCACAAGACGCTTCACATCGTCTATCACGACTGATGACTCGATGGATCTGCTCCTTAAGTTTTCGCAGCTGCGCGTCTCGTTCAGCAAACCTCTGTTGGAGCTACGCGACTCGTTCAGCCAACTTCTGTTCCACATCCTGCACCTTCCCTTGTAGCTCCCCTTGAAGCTTCTTCGTCGTCTAAGATAACCCGATGGTAAATTCATCTCTGAGGGTACGGATGATGTGGTCCATCTTCTCAGTGTCATCCAGTTCTGGGAAATTACGGGTTCTCCTTTAACATCTGCGACAGGGCCTGGTTCTCCTCCTCAGCATCTGGGACATGGTCTGGTATCCTCCCACAGCGCAGTGGTAGTGTTGGTCATCGTCTGGGAAAAGGCCTTATTCTCCTCATTCAGCGCACTGCTGCTTGCAATCACCATCTGGGAAAGAGCCTGGTTGTCTTCCTGGAGAGCGCGGCAGGTGTATAGTTTCTGTGAAATGGCTCTCTCCCTTTAGGGCCCGGCTGGTGTTGCCAGTTTCTGGGAAAGGGTCTGGTTCTCCTCCCTCAGGCAGATTGAAAGGTCTGTGGATCTTCCTGCTGGCTTTCTAAGTAGTCTTGAAGTCAGGTCTCCAGTGTCGCCCTCGATAGTGTCGTCTCGAGCTCAGTCTCCTCTAGCTCCATTTTCAGATCCACCACTTTCAGATCGCACAGTTTTTTCACAGGCATTGTCTCTCGCGCACACACCCGACAAGACGTATACGAAATGATCACGAAAATAAAAATTCAAGGTCCCTCAAAACAGTCACAGCCACTCCCGATATGCGCACAGTTCAGGTTCAAAAAATAGTTACAATCACTATACGCACGACATACGCAAGGTTCAGTTTCTTAAACAGTTAAAGTCACTCCCGATGCAAGCACGTACTTCTACTAGTCCCACGCTTGACTCCACTGTAACAAAAACACCTATTTTATTATTTAAAGTCTAATTTATTATTCTCATACTAATTTATTATAATTTATCACAAATGTTTGACTATTGTGACAGGACAATAGTTATCCGCGCTGTTGACTCATCGTCCGCTGCCGACTCTGCCTGCTTTTGTCCTCTGTGCATGTATTTGTTTTTCTAGGCCGAACTCGAGCCTTCAACGAATCCTGGTAAATGGCGCGTTGACAGTCGATACTTCCCGATGCCTGACAAATGTTCACAATAAGCGGTGGCGTAATTCTGGTTTCTTAAGCGTGATGTTATGAGGGTTTCTCATTGTTACTCAAAGTTCTAGTTACGAGGGCGTAACATTACTAAATTCTCTGGACTATAGGTGTTCAAAGTAGTCACCATTGGTCCTTACGCATGCCTGCACCTTTTAATAAACGATCTTTTTAGTTTGTGAGAATGCCCCTGAGAGAGACCGATCTTATTTTCGCATGTAACTGTGTTACATAAATCGCCTCTGTTTGATAGACCATATATTTAAGGCAATCCCAATAAAAAGGTCTTGGAGTCAATGGATAGGACCAAGGTCGAGGATCCACTTTCCTGAATAAAGTTCATTTTGGTATCGCGGACAGGACGACCGCAGTGTGCTGGATAAGCGTCCCGTTGTGGCCACATTTCTCGCCTTATCGATATTGGCACATCCTCCAACAGGTTAGGCAGCCAGTTTCTTAGTGAATCCATGTAGATGTCCGCTCTTAACGTTCCTGGTAATTCATATGGGCCAATCACCTTCCGTGTCCGTGGGCGATTTTGACGTATTGCGTAGAGATCTTCCACTTGCCAATTATGCGAATGCAAATAATCGCCACACCACACAATTTTGTCGAAAAATGTGGAATTCATGGATCACGCGTTGTATGTGGAAAGGTTGCAGATGATATAGTTTCAAGGAGTCACGCATAATGCTTTTAGGGAAGCCCATCTTACTAGCTATTTTCCGAATTGAAGTGGAGTGGTCATCGTTCACTTCGTCCAAAACATCCTCGTCCATTCGAAGTCTGACACAGTTACCTCTTCTTTTGCCAATGTCTGATATCACGTATTCGCCAAGATCGCCAGATCAGAATCCATTGGAGTTTTCAATTCAGCTCACCTAAAAGACATTGTGTATCAAACAAAAGTGTTTATGTAATACACGTGCGTAGTAAAATCTTATCGGCCGACAAAGGACATTTTACACAGAGGACACTCGCGCAAGTTAGCACAAAGTAAGGGACTCCTCTGTTATTAATAAAAGTAAGGCACACATAATGGTTAACAGTGGTCAATCTGATTGATACCTGCCCTAGTATAATAAAAAATATCTGTCATGAAGTCAATTCTTCCATTATTTCTTACTCGCGTCATGCATTTTTTTAATAGTTAAGAAACTTGACGAACTTAGATTAAAATTGCTATAAAACAAGAAAATGTTGGGGTGGCATTTCAAGATGGGCATCAAATAACCAAATTTTAAAGTATCCTATCCCATCCTTTGTTACTACAGGGTATCAAATTTATACACATAAATTGGTTTTAATTGAAATGTTGCATTAGAATAATTCGGATGTAGATTTCGCTTTAACACAATAAAAGAATGCTGATTTTCATGAAACAATGGATTGTGATGAATATTTTGAAACAAAGCTGGCTCAAAAAATTGATATTTGTAGAAATGGTAACAACTAGACGAGTGTCGATTTTTGCTAAAAAATTGATATCTCGAAGACAATGAGACTTTCGATGGAACAAAATTTTGCCAAGCAGTAGGTTATGATGCAACCTATTCCCAGTTCAAAATTATCCTTTTATTTCCGGACAGCCTGTATAAATGAAAAATACCACATATGTTAATTGATTGGGCTAGATTGAATTTGAAAAACATGTTACTTATACGATTTTAGGTCTTTCAAAGTTTTTGAGAATAAAAATATTCTATTTATATTCTGCATTTCTACTAGTAAGTATTTATACATACTTTGTGACTTTTTCCACAATCTCAAAACTAGACCGCCATCATAGTTGCTTTCGGTGAGAACGCAAAAACAAAGCAACCGAAGTCGGGATCGGACTGAAGTCCAGTTGCCTTTGGGTTGCTTCTGTTAAGAATAGTATATATTTAAATCACCGACGATAAAAACCTTAACTAACCCCATCACTGAAGATGATAGAAGCATCAGTTATTATAACGGGTCTTGGATAATTACCTTTTAATGGTACTTCGCGATCAAATAACTAATTTAAAGTTAAAAACAAGTCTGAGCCTACCTGCCTCATGGTCTAATTATATTAGACTAAAATACCCCTAGTTTTCGAAATAATTGTAGAGTCTGGTTTTATTGCTACAAGTTGTTCAAGGGGGTACTCAAAACATAGACGCATAAAATGGGTACACCAATTTTTGAGCGAAAACTTTTTATTCGATAACATAAGAAAACGTGTTTTTTGGGATTCAATCGAAATTGTTGGCAGGATCGAAAACATTCTTCATATAAGATTCTTAGGTATATATAAGACCTACAAAATGAGACCACACGTAAAAAGATCCGACTAATAGCAAAAAAGTTATGGCCGAAAACCGAGGCAAACTGCAGGTTTTGGCAATTGTTGGTAATGCGATGGTGTCTCGCAGATATTTGAAATTCTTCGAATTCGTAGGAATCGTACTTCTAAATAACCACATTGTTTATCACAAAACACCTGTTTTCCGGCCATCACTACAGGTTTATTGAGCAATCAATATACAAGGTTAATTCAAAGGACATTTTATAGCAAAATACACTAGTTCACCTTACCAATATGAATCGCAAACCATTCCCGAAGATAAATGTTATTCTTATGCAAAAAGGATGGGTTACGTTTTTTCTGCTAAACAAATTCAAACATTTCGTATTTGTGAGTAATTCGCAACAAAAGATGATAGAAATATCCGCTTTGACTTAAAATGTGTATAGTAACGTATGTTTTTACGAATATTGTAGCGCATTTGTTCAATTACTCACAAATACGCAATGTTTGAATTTATTTAGAAGAATAAAACGTAACCTTCGTTTTTCGCATAAAAATAACATTTATCTTGCGGAATGGTTTATGATTCATATCGGCAAGGTAATCACGTGTATTTTGCTATTAAATGCTCTTTGAACGAACCCTGTATATTGCTCAATAAACTAATAGTGATGGCCGGAAAACAGGTGTTTTGGGATAAGCAATTAGAGATTCTCAAAAAAATAATTGATCAATATAAACCAATTTTGTTGTTGTTATTCAGAAGTATGACTCCTACGGATTTGAAGAATTTCAAGTAGTTGCGTGAAATTATCCTCGCATTACCAATAATTGTCAAAACCTGCATTTTGCCTCGTTTTTCGGCCATAACATTTTTCATTTTTGCTATTAGTCGGATCTTTTCAGGTGTGGTCTTATTTTGTAGGTCTCACAAATACCTAAAAATCTTATATGGAAAGTTTTTTCGTTCCTGTCAACACTTTCGATTAAATCCCAAAAAGCACGTTTTCTTATTCTCTGTTGTCAAAAAGATTTCCCACAAAAATTGGTGTAACCATTTTATGCGTCCATGTTTTAAATATCCCCTTGAACAACTTGCACCAATAAAACCATACTTTACAATTATTTCCGGGAAATTTGCTAATATGATTAGACTATCAACCCAAGTAGGGATCAAAAAACATCATTGAATTCGATTTATGGATGGCCTGTAACAAGTTCCCTTTCGTGACACCTACTTAAAATCTTCGCCAGTACGCCTATGCCATTTAAAGTAAACGTGTGCGTATCCGTGATTTTGTTGAATTTTAAGTGACGTTGAACTAGAAAAATAGATTAATAACGTGATATGAAAAGAAAGTAGGTAGAATTTGCAAAATATAACTAATGAATACCACTAAACAAATTGATAAATACCAATTATGTCAATATATTTGAAAAATTCCGCGGTTCGATCTGATTGGTTGCATTGACAAATAGAATTTACCGCTAGAGGTCCAACATGGGTACCCAGTCTGTTTGTAAACTGGGTTTTTCTATATTTTTTTCCAAAATAGTAGTATTTTAAGTAAATAATCTTGAATTCTAGGCTGAACTGAACCCGATTCTTGTTTTCCAAGCTGTGTACGCCACGTCCTTTTGGTCAGTTTGCAGTGAAAATATATTATAGGGGTTAGGTTACCCTTGCGGCCTTATTGCTAACGTAGGATACTAATGAAGTGTTTTAAATTTATGTGCAGTATGTAAAAACGATGTACATATGTGTCTTTAAATAATAAGGTGAGCAATCAGTCCAATCAAACCGCTATTTTTCTAATTTGACCTACAAAATGGGTCTTAAAGGGATGAAACTTTCCCAAATGTCATTTTTTCCAACTTGTCAGATCACTTTTGGAAATCCCAAAATCATCAACAAGCCATCAAAAAGTGAACTAAACACCATGTTTTTCAAATAGGTATATGATTAAAAAGAAAATATTTCAATCTGACAGTTAGTAGTGCAGTAAAATTCTAACTAAATTTTATTTCAGATGGGGGCCCACATCAGTTGGTATCCATGAATATAGTTTTAATAGAATGTGGATATTCTGAATGTTGATACCAAACGATTTTCAACGATGCAAAGCCTGGAGGCTGCATGTGATGAGGGTGAAGTGAGTACTATAGAAAACATTGTGGTAGCCAAATATAACATGACTGTGTTTTTAGCGTCCAGTGAAGAAAGCTAAATTAAGTCGTTCCTCATTGCCTCTAATACGCCCCCAGGAACCCTCATGTTCTACATCACAAGACTATATAGCAGTTACAACTGTCAAAGCACCATTTGACATTTTTGCCAAATTGAAGGAATTACATGAACAGGAAATTGCCAAAAGCTCTGAGGTAAGCATATTCTTCATTATATTATAATGCTCCTTAATTTGATATACACATTTATTATCTTTCCATATGTTGTATAAATCAGAAACATGTACAGGAGTATTTTAAAAATCATTTTTATATATCCCTGATTGTGATAAATTTTTTGTTGAATTTGCACTTTTAACAATGAATGGGTAGTAATTACCAGGTGATATTTTTGTTTACTCATATCTGCATTGGGTATGTTTGTTTTGCATATTGTGGCTGTAGAGCAAAAATTGTTTTAGATTATGAAACAAATTACAATAGTATATTTTGTCTTGCATCTTGTAAATAGATACTGCAAATCTATGAGGCAACAACATTAAGCATTGAGAAAACTATACTGTTTTTATTTCATCTTTATAACAGGATGAAGTGCATTTATTCTACATATTTTGTAATTGTATTAAGTGTAATTTTAACAACTGACATTTTTCACAGAACCATATTGAATAGTGTCAGGTTGTATATGTTAATCAATGATAGTAGTTGGAGTGAGTTTCCTGATAGGCTTATGAGTCTAACAAATTTATGAATCTGTCAACTAAGATTCACAATGCATAATAAAAACACATTTTATTAATTTTTTATAACAATGATTCCCCACATGTACACATACAAAAAAAATGGTTTGTTATTTAGATAAAATCTTCAAAATATAAAGATGTTTTTTTTTCATTACCAGGAAGAGAAATAATAAACTCTGACTTTTAGTCAGTAGCTGCATTAGTCAAATGAATCTAGATATTAATATATAGAAAATAACAAGCACCCCATAATATTTATCCGCAACAAAAAGGTGAAACATCTGATATCACAAAACAGAACTGTCAAGAATACTTTCTCCTTTCTTTCAGTCTGTGTCTGGCCATTAGATCAACAACTAGTCACTGGTGATCAATAAGTTTCAGTTTAAATATTAATATAACAAAACAATGTATTTTAATTTTTCAATTCATATGTGTTCTTATGAAAAGAAGTATTCACATCTATTTTTATTTAAACTTTTAATCAATATGAGTGTAAAGTTAGTGTTTTTAATTTTTGAGGACTGATATATATGTTCCAAAAATGAAAGGCTATATGAGATTTCCATTCCAAATATATGAATTGGTATTTTATTTTCCTGTTAAATAGTTGCAGGCACTATAAAAGGTCAAATGTCAGACAAATTGATGAGAGCAAAACAAAATCCACAGTTTAGGAAATAAATTGTAAAATTATTATGAGTTTAGGATGAAAACAACAAACTGTAAAAACAGCTCTCTAACAAAAATACCTTGAGTTCTTGTTCAAAAATAACTAATGTTGGAGAATTCATGATGCCTACATCAAATTTATTAAAGACTTTACAGTCTATATAACTAATATTTTTAGAATGTGCCTGTGCGATATTTAGGGGGTACTAACAAATCCTTAGCTCTAGATGGTCATCTTTTTGTTTCAAAACTGTTGATTTGTTTTTACACACAAAAATTGACAACTCATATATGTAAATACTACTAGTTATAGTTAGAATATTTAGAGATTTGAAATAATTTTTGCCTGACTGTGACAACCAAAGTTGGATTGGTAAAGAGTTAGTAATATCTGCTTACTACAATCGTTTGATAATAATCTGATTCCATAACAACTTTTCTGAAATTTGTTACATAGTGATTCCACATGAGGCTCCCAAATTGAATGATGATCAATGGTCATACCCAGCATTCTAAGGGATACAGAAGATTGAATTGCCAAATTATCATGCATGCAAACCCTGAAATCAAGATTATCTCTTGGTAAAACTTCATGACTTGTGTCTTTTTTACATTCAGTATTAGACCCTTCTTTTCAGACCATTTTTATGTATAGTTACAAATTATTTCTGTTTTCATGGTAAGATCATTCCTCAAACCAGTTAGTAATAAAAGGTGGGCCATCCGTTGGTTTCTTTTTTAAATTGGTATTAAAACTACTCTCTTCAAAAATATGTAACACTCGATACTTTATTCAAAAGAATACACCTTCTGATTATTTATGAAAAACTATTCCAGTTAAATGGCTGCCGCGGCTGGCCTGGCAGTAGTCCATCCTGTTAACCCAATTTTGAAGCACATTTTCGATAGTTTGTGGGTATATTTCATCAATAGATCGACGGATATTTTCCTTCAGAACATCAATTGTTTGAGGATCGTTAGTGTAACAGCGGTCCTTAACAGTACTCCATAGGAAGTAATCCATGGGCGTCAAATCACAGCTGCGGGCTGGTCAATGAACGTCTTCAAAACGGCTGATAACGCGATGACTGAACTTAGTGTGTCAAAGATCGATTGTTTCACGGCTGGTGCGGCATGTTGCGCTATCCTGCTGGATTCAGAGATTGTGCAAGTGCATGTCTAATAGTAGCCAACTCCTCAACATGTCTCTATAGCGTTCCCCGTTTACCGTCACGCTGATCCATCCTCATCTTGAAAAAAGTAGGGACCAATAATCCCACCACTCCAAAAGCCACACCAAACAGCTACTCTTTTTGGATGCATTGGTTTTTCTATGACATGTGGATTTTTAGAAACCAAAATCCTATAGTTCTGCTTGTTAACATAACCTCCCAGGTGGAAATGGGCTTCGTCCGAAAAGATGATTTGGCGACCAAAATTGACGTCCATTTCCAATTGATTTAGAGCCCACAGAGAGAAACGATATTGAAGTGGATGGTCATTTTGTTTCAACTCTTGCACAAGTTGCACCTTGTAAGGAAATAATCCCAGGTCGTTATGAAATATTTTCCGCACAGAAGTGCGATTGATGCCCACTTGTTGTGCTCTGTGATGAGTTGACATTCTTGCGTTTTCACGCACACTCTGGGCAACAGCAGCAATGTTTTCGGCTGTACGTACGGGTCGAGCACGCTCATACCTTCTGTTATCCACAAGCAGGCCAGTTTTACGAACCTTCTTCACGAATTTTTGTATACCAGTCGCGGACAGAGCTTCATTCCGACCACATAGTCTTCTGAATGTTCGCAAAGTTTCTGCAACACTCACTTTGAAAATAGTTTTTCAATATTTCCCACATTTGTTCAAGATTAAAACGATCCATTGCTCACAGCGGAAGCTTGACACAATATATGTATACCAATATGTTGAGCATGGAAGTGTTACCAACTGTCAAAATAATGACAACTTAAAAACAAAACAACTGATGGCCCACCCTTTATATTAGTATCATATATGACACCACTTTACAGTGAGAATATATGCTAGAATATACACTGCATTAAGGTTGATAGCAAACAATAAAAACAGGAAAGGCCCAATAACGGGTCCTTGTGGGGACACCCATATTCAAAACCTTCGTCTTGCTATTTATCCCATTAACAGAGACATATTGCTTTCATGTATCAAGATATTACTAAAAAAGTTGTAGGGGTTAAACATCAACAGTTTATGACCGACAGAAAAGTCTAAGAAAAGACCACATATTTGTTGTTTTTTGTCAAAAGCATTTATAATATTACCTGTAAAACTGTATATTGCAGTTTCAGTGCTTTTACTGTTGATGAAGCCATGTTGATTTTTGAGATCATTTCATTCTTATTACAAAAATATAGGATCATTTTTGTAAACAGTAATCTTACATTCATCAATTTGAATGTTGTCAATCAATTGTTTTTCTCTTTTCTAGAACTCGTGCGAAACATCCCTTCTGTTAGAAAAACTCGTAGCCCGTGAAAGACTGAACACGTTAATATTTAATTTGTATCCTGGTAATAAGGGATACTCGTTAGCCTTCCGTACCGCATCTTGCCCAGACCCCACCTCAGATTTTGCTGAAGATACTGCCGCCGACATGATTGAAACCAATCCGAGGCCTTACGAGGAGGGCAACCTTCTCAGATATATCGACAATGAAGGTAGGCTGAAATTTTCATATGTGGTATGGCAATTGTTCCCAGAATATTGTAAAAATTCGGGACCAATCGCCATTATCTGTCTAGAGATCATCTTCCTTTTAGTTTTAATTCAGTTCCTATTGAATGTGTATTTCTATCTCTCACCCCCGAAAATTGATGGTATGTGAGGACGAGTGCATGTCGAATAGGCGGATGTTTGAATGGGCGACCCAGTTCAAACCTGCATCTACATCGGTAGAAAACGATTCACGTGAAGGAGCTCACACCCCTTCTATCGGCGAACCGTTTGCACGAGCTGATCACGTGTTCACTGCCGCCGTAGCATTCATGTGTTGTCTTGAGATATAAACATCAACAGACAAACCGTTCACGAGACGTTACACGAGAATTTGAAAAGATGGTGCCAAAACTTCTCATCCATTCCTTGTTCCATGAGTAAGAATTTTTCTAGAAAATTATCATTGCCATACCCGCTGTAACCTTTTTAATTCCCCTTGTTGAAATTTTATCTCATAAGCCTTCATCTTGGCGGCGTTGAGAAGGTCAAATAAGATGTAGCCGGCACGGGTATTATATAAAAAACCTATAAAACGTCAAAAAAAAAACAAACAATAAAATGTCATCTTGCAGACTAGGTAGTTTTTAGGGTGAAAATAGTTCATTCCACGTTTGATCGCTGTGAGCGTCCATCTATGGAGGAATGATTCAACCACCCACATTGGTTGTATATGTTTTGTTTATGATTAAGTGTGATATTGTGATATTTGCTGTGTGAGAAAATTATTGCTGAATATGATGCCAGTGAAGTATATCTTTTACGTGTGCCCGACGCGTTATTTATATGTTGTCCTTTCAAAGTTATAAATTACGATTTTTCCTGTTTTTTTGTTTCAAAAGCTTTGAGGAGCACTACGAAAAATCGACACTGCGCCCGCGTTTGTGTAATTAGGCCATATCACAGAAAAATTAGTAATGACGCATCAGTCATCAAATATCTTGGCAATGCCTCACATCTAGGCGCTGATTTGTATTTTCTATTGACATCGCAAAATAAATTTCTATAAAATTTAAATGACTGGAATAAAAAAAAATATTCTTGTCTGATCCTCCACCAACCAGGGATTTTTTTTTTCTCTCTCATTTTTGAAATTAAGCAAATTAGCATATGTAATTTCCAGAATGAATGAGAAAAAGTGGATACGCAACTAATTTCAAGCTTTTAATCTCAAGTAAGTGTATTTGAGATAAGAATCTAATGTCATCAATACATATTATTAGAACACAAATCCTTACTATACACCTATGAATTGCCGTTTCCTTCTAGCTATAGTATACAACTTAATAACTTAGAGCTCCAGTAATACCATCTCTGAAACAGATTTTACATTGATAACTGAAGCATCATGACGTCTAGGCAACATGACAACTGCAAAACGAGTTCACAAGTGTCGATCAGCTAGTGCTAAGTTAACATCTTGCAAAAAACCTGCATAATGCCACAAAAAACAATACAATTTCAAAAAGAATCGACATAATGTCACTTTTCAAGATACGTAATACCCGCATCCTAAAAATATTGCCGTATGTTGTACACAAAATAAATCGTGCTAAATATGCAAATTTTAAGGTCTGACCAGATTACCAGTGGAGCCACGACTCCCCTGACCTCCTCCCTGCGGGCGCCCTTGATGGCATCTAGATGATGCAGTAAAAATATTGCCCATTCAGCGGCGCCATAATTCAAGCTCAATTAGCTGTACCATTCTCGAAGTTTCATTTTACTTTGCGCTCCCAATTTATAATAAACACTAGTTTACCATGCGATGTATTTCAGAACTGCCCCCCTATATTGTGGACTTACTGGAACCTGAATTCAGTTACTTATTCTACAGTGGTTGTGTTATAGCAGAGATCAGAGACTATAGACAGGCATATCCACATACCAAGTGTGATACTCATCACGTTCTGCTCAGGCCTACACTTAAGGTAAGTTACAATTTTCGCTTCCAAATTTACTACTTAAAAAAATAAATTTTCCCGCAAAATTTGGGATTAGTTTAGATTTTTTCTGACATGTGGGAATAAGTTATAAAATTATCTTTCTTAATAATAATATATGAATGTAGTTGGAGAAAAAGTATTGTCAGTTTAATTTAATTTTTTTAAATAATCGAGGCCAACTTTCATATGCACTGATATTATTTGCTTGAGGTAAATGTACTAAAAACAGATGAGATCCCTTATTTCATGAAATATCTTGATATTCGCAGAATACTTTTTGATTATTTTTATTCTATAAATTATATTGCCCCGATAGTTGCAATAGAGAATATTTAAATATGGGTTAATTATTTTTATTTACAGTCTATAGAGGGTTACAGGGGAAACGGAGGTGACGCCACACGAACTCTAGCGAGGGTACACGTGTGCATACAGCATGCACACATTCTGGCCCCCCCTACGAGATCCGCCGGGTGGTACCTCCGCGTACGACAGTCAGAGACCACCTACGGACACTCACAACATCCATAGCCAAGAGAAAATTTTCTCTTGGGGCGGGACTCGAACCCTCGCGACGCACGGCGACTGATCAGGAGACGACGCGTCTTCCACTGCATATAATATTGCTACAAAATGACAGCTTCAACCTTATTTTATACTTAAGCGTTATAAAATCACGAGCATTTATTAATAAATAATGAAAAAATACGAAATTTAAAATATCGAAACGCAACGCTATTGGCGTGACATCACTATTTGCGACATGTAGTCAGCCAACCCTTTGTTGATTGGTCAGTCCGATTTAGAATGGCAATGTTCTCACTGTCATTGATTGTCAACCTGCTAGTTTCATGTTTGATCGCGATTTTGAAAAACTGCAAAGCTTTTTCGTCCTTATTTACAATAAATATATTGTTTTCAGAGCTTTCTGTCAGATATAAACAATTTAGCTGATGACAAGCCAGAATGGAGCGTTGATGAGAGAGATCAACTAGAAAGCCAAATGCTGATGGCAAATGAGCCAGCTTTATGTTTAGATCCTGATAGTAGCGTTAGTAGCAAAGTTGTAGAAATAAATAACCAAAAGCAAATTTTCAATACACAGAAGTTTAGACGGATGGCTAAGAAATTTTCTCAGGTAATTTGGAGAATTCCAAATCCCATTCTTCGTATGAGCTGTAGAGATGACCAACATTTGAATATGATTTTAGGTTACTGTCAATAGAAAACGGAAACTGGATAGGTTCACATATAGACATGGTATGGAGTTATTCGAATTTCTTAATAGGACTAGAAGTAAACCAAAGATTGGTACACTAACACAAAAAGGTAAGGGTTTCGGTAGTGTAAATTATTATATGTTTTCGAGATTTTTTAATTCCGTATTTTTTGAATCTATGTTGAATATTCGCGTCTAATCGCGGCATATCACAGTAAAACTACCAGGTATCATTTTCATCCCTCAATCCCCCGTATACATCTACCTCTATATGCAGACATTTTTTGTAAGCTTACGCTTTTTTCAGTTTATACTTGCGTCCGTGAACATTTTTTCATTAAGTATGAGTGTCCTACAATTATGCTTGTTAGTTTATTTGACATTTCAGTCACTGATTTATGTGTTATAAATTCTAAGATTAACGCTTATACATGTATGGTATTTGCAGCTGCCAAAACACTCTCTCTCACTTGTCATGGGCTTGTGATTTGCAAATGAAAATCCTCAACAAACAGACAAACGTATCAAATCGAAGTTACATCGAGAGATGTCGAATTCGAAATATTTGTACAAGGTGGCCATTATATAACTGGCTGATTTAAATTGCGCGCCATTTTTGATACACGGATTATGTGGCGCCCTAGTAGTTGTTTAAAGCACATGTGTCCAATTCATCATGGGACGCTACACGATTCCACAACGCGTCCGTATTGTTAAAACGTTTTACTTAAATAATGAGTCGATTGTTGCAACGATTCGGAAGCTTCGACAAGATTTCGGTCGAAATAATGTGCCCAGTGTCAACACCATTCGTCAGTTGGTGCGGAAGTTTGAACAACAGGTGAAGTTAAAGACTTGCCAAGGTCGGGCCGTGTTCGAACTCGTACTCCGGAAAATATCGACAGAGTTCGTGAAAGTGTAGTGGAGCGCCCTGAGACGTCTACCAGACATCACATCTCAAAAACTAGGTATTCGTCGCACGTCATTATGCACTATTTTAAAAAAAGACTTGCATTTGCAAAATTTGAGGCAATCCAAGGAAATCAGAGACAATCCAAGGAAAATCGAGGGTATCTGAGGAGACTTATCTTCCTAATCACAGTGGGAGGAAATCCGAAGCAATCCAAAGAGATTTTTTATGCCATTGGGACAAGATTCGAGGCAATCCAAGGAAAACAGAGGCTATCTAAGGATACTTTCCTCCCTCCTCCCAGTGGAAAGGGAGGGTATCTGAGGAGATTTTCCTCAATAGTTTTCGTTGGAATAAATCCGAGGTAGTCCAAGAAGATTTTCCGTGGCAATCAAGGAGATATTTCACCCCCAACATTCAGTGAACCTAAAAACTACAGCCTAGTGACCATGAAAGTCGCCTACAAGATAGTCATGCAATATTGCAGCTTAATACCCAAAATAACGTTTTTTACCGACAACTGATAATGAGCGATGAAGCCCACTTCGATATGAACGGATTGGTTAAGTAACAGAATTGTCGTATCTGGGCATTAGAGAACCCTCGTGTCATCCATCAACGAGCACTACAGGATGTTCCATCTTTTATGTCAGTATGTAAACATGAAGTAACTTTGAAAACGAAAAACTGATTTCTATATATCTATTATTTTTATTAAATATGGTCCTTTACAATTTATTGGGACTAGTTTTTGTACACATCTATCAAGTGACCATCTTTATTGGGCAAAACAAAATGTGCCCGTTTTGCTGCGTTTTCCAATACTTTTTCGAGCATCTCTGGTGGTATAGCGGCGATTGCGGTACGAATCTTTGCCTTGAGTTCTTCAGTGGTCTGGGACTTGCTGGCGTACACTTGACTTTTCAAATAACCCCACAAGAAGAAGTCCGGTGGGGTCAAATCTGGAGACCTGGGTGGCCAGTCAATGTCACCTCTTTTTGACATCAGACGTCCAGGGAATTTTCATTGCAGACACTAGATTGTTTCATTTACAGTGTGGCATGGCGCACCGTCTTGTTGAAACCAGTAACCATCAAGACCTTTTTCACGCTTTTGTGGGCAGACATAATGAGCCAACATCCACCGATATCGATTTCCATCGACTGTTTCGTTTTCGTTGAAGAAAAATGGCCCAGCGATGGTTTTGGCGCAAACGCCGCCGCCGGCCCAAAAAGTCACTTTTCGGTCATGCAACGGCATTTCGTGGATCCCATGTGGATTTTCCGTCCCCCAAATGCGGCAGTTTTGCTTATTACCGCCGCCAGAGAGCGCGAAATGGGCCTAGTCGGTCATCACAATTTGCTTCCAAAAATCAGGTTCAGCACCAACCATGCGAGCGACCGTTTGGGCGTATCCCAAGCGACGTAGACGGTCAGTTGGCAATATGTTTTGTGTTAGCTGCACCTTATAAGGAAACAAATGCAAATAATCCTTCAAAATGCGCCGCAACGTGGTTCCACTGATGCCAAAATGCTGAGCGCGGTGACGATACGACACTTTTGGGTTCTTGTCAACGCTGTCTCTGACCGGTTCAACCAATTCATTTCAACATCTTGGTCGTTGATGAGCGGTATGTTGACGATCTCCCACTGTCCCGTACTCAAGAAAATTCGAAACCAAACGACGGATAGTGTTGTCAGACGGTGCCTGTTTGACACGATATTGTCGACGATATGCTCGTTGCGTTAACACAACTGAACGACGATTTTCAATGTACATTGTGACTATTTCGGCGCGTTGTTTCGGTGTAAAGGGATTCATGACTAAAATTGTAGTAAATTGACGTTTCAGAAACACATAACCAAATCACTCGATTGGTAAATATCAAAGTCATTCGATGATTCAATACCGACATAAAAGATGGCACACCCGGTACATCCTCGTTGAGTCACAGTTTGGTGAGGTATTTGGTATGGAGGTGTCATTGGACCTTACTTCTTTGAAGACGCTGCAGGTAGTTCTCTTACTGTCACTGGCGAGCGCTACCGTGATATGGTGCAAAACTTTCGGGCTCTTCAAATCCAACAATTTAACCTGCAAAACATGTGGTTCCAGCAGGACAGAGCAACTTGTCACACAGCTAGGGAAACAATTAATCTTTTGGGAACAATATTTCCGGGATGTTTAATTTCTCGATTTGGTGATGTCAACTGGCCACCAAGGTCACCGGATTTACGGCTTCCGACTTTTTATGGGGATTTTTGGAAAATAGGGTTTATGCCAACAAACCAAATACTCTTATCTGAAGAACAATATTACGGAAGCGATTGAAAATATTCCTCCCGAAACCTACCAAAAAGTGATGGAAAATGTAATCAAGAGCGCTTCTAGAGGCGGACATTTTCATACATAATTTCTAAGTTTCAATAAAAGATGGACGTATTCTATTTCATTTCACAAATATTCAAGATATAAACCAGTCAGTTACATATCGGCCACCCTGATCTATGGATGCTGGATCATCACCTTACACCGTCACAGAATTTTACGCGCTGTAGCGATCTAGCGATAGCTACAAATTCCCAGTATAAATGTCAGTAGACATAACGTTCTGATACAGCGATCAAGGCAACATTTGTGGTAGTCACTTCAGGCTAATGGCTTCACTGACATTTTGGCTGCCATTGCAGCACTTCGAGCAACATCAAAAAATATAAAATTAATTTTAAAGTTAAATACTATGTTGATTACAGGTGCGACATTGTCGAAACGTCTGTCGACTTCCACAAGCACATCACTGGAAGACACCGCAAAACCGGTTGCTGTGCCAGCTCCAAGTTTAGAACCGTCTATACAACTGGTGCCACCTTCGCAACCTGTCGTAATCCAGTCGTTCAAGACATATCCAAGGCCGAAAGAGTCTAGCGATTGGGTGCCGCAGCTCATTGAGGAGTATGTTTTGGAAACGGATATGCCCTCGAAGGTAAGAATGTTAGGTTTATATGAAGTGTTTGCTTATACACCCATCATTAATGATCTTATTTGAGTAACTTAGAGTTAGAGGTTTATTTTATTTAAATCATATACACCTATTTCTAATCTGTTTCCATAAATCTATATTTTAATAACTAAACATTATAACACGCTTAACTCAAGTAACAATTGTTTATAAACACATTTCATTACTTAATATACATTTGAAGACTAATGTTACGTGACGCAGCTATTCTATTAATCAACTCTTTTATTCTCAATACTGTATGGCTGTAGGTGTATCAAGAACTCATTTAGATTCCTTTTAAAGATCTTTTCTTCCGTGATTTGATAGTGTTACCCAATTTGTTAAAAAGCTTAATTCCCATATAGTAGGGACACTTCCCAAACAGGGTGAATCTGTGTTTTGGGAAAGAGATATTATTTGTTCGAGTATTTTATTATTAAAAACAGTTATATTATTAAAAACAAATAACATAATTTCATAGATGTATGCCGCGTTCATTGTTAATATTTTGTTTGATTGGCAGGACTGCAAGAAACACATGTACATATATATATATTATATATACCCTATGATCAAAAAGTACCGGCAATTTTTAATTTTAGCAAACTGCACATGACAGAACCGGTGATTTTTAGTTTTTTTAGGATGGTACCACCTGAACTGACATACGTGTCAATATTTTAGCGCCAGTGCCTTGTTGGTATCTGACTGGCGTCTGTTTACGTCAGTCAACTTTTTAACTTTTGTCGCAGTTTGATATGGGTCGTTTTGTTGAGCAAAGAGTTTGTCTGAAATTTTGTGTTGGTAACACTCAAAAAGCCTTTGTGGAGTCTGAAATGTCGCCTTATCGGGTCAAAATTGTGCTTGATTATTTGACCAAATATCAAGTAAATACCATTAAACAAGCGTGTTCACCTGATACGGCTCCTTGCGACTTTTTTCTCTTCCCAAAACTCAAATTACCACTTCGGGGAAAGAGATTTTAGTCCATAGATGACATCAAGCAGAATGCGACGAGGGAGCTAAAGGCCATACCTTTGGCGACTTACCGGCGGTGCATGGACGAGTGGGTGACTCGCTGGCATATGTGTGTTGCTTCAAATGGATGTTATTTTGAAGGCGATAAAATAAATTTGACTGAAAATTAAACCGTTTTCGTTTTATTCTTTAATTCCCGGAACTTTCTGATCATTTGGTATATATATATATATATATGTTGTACGCAATTGGTGAAAACGTTCAGTGCCCGAAATGGATACCCACAACGCGATGTGGATTTTATGAATTTTCCACATCGCGTTACGGATATATTTTATATACCCAAAACGCGTTGTGTGTAAATTTCAAAAATCCACGACGCGAAATCACGATTATCATCGAAGATACGCGACGGTTTTCGTGTTATGGGTAATAATAAATACTCATCAGGCGAAAAATACGTAGGTTCTTAAGTAATGTGGAGAAATCAATAAAAAAAATTGTAAAATAAAAATACCGACACGTTCTTAAGATCTATTTATGAAGTACACATTTTTTAGAAAACTAATTATTATTTATTCTTGCATGTTAGTGATCCATGACATTTTGAGTTACACTTCTTGTTTCATTGTTTGCAGGAACATTTATTATCACCACAAAATCTTTTACAATTGCATCTGAGAAAACCTTGACCGGAACCTTTAGATGACATATTTGCTGCAGTTCGCAAGGGTATTTTCTTGATATTATTATCATTTGATTGCGACATGAACTGCGAATCTGCTTGAAGTTCATTTCTTGAAAATCATCTGTCCAGCGGCCCATTCTCAGTTTATACAAGCCATCATTATTAATTTCAGAAACAATGGCTAACACATTTCTTCGAGTTATTCGGCCTCGGTCTACATCTGGTTTTCGGATCAAAACATATGTTCCAATTTCTAAAGGAGCAAATCTTTTATTTGACTCACACAACATTTTCGTTGCTTGAATTTTCATCATTTTATGTGAATCCTCTCTTTGATTCAAAATTATTTTATCCCTTTGTGTTATCTGATAATTAAAGCTATTTTCAACTTCGCTTTCTGTCCACCATTTCATTAGCTTCATTTTCATTATTGTCTTGATTTTTCTGGTCGGCGTTGTTATTTTCATTTTCAACATTTTCTCTATTTGTTAAATTAGTATTATTATTGTCATTTTGTTCGTTCTCCGGACTATTTATTAATTCTTCTAAGTCTTATTCTCGTGGAAGGTCGGCATCTCCTAAACCATTAACCTGTCTACTGCCAAACACAGTCTCATAAGGGCTTCTGCCAATTCCTCTATGAAAAGATCGGTTTTTCTGTGACTGTATGAATTTCAACCCTTCTGACCATTTTGTGTTATTATTATCGTTTACCCAAGTAATTAGCATATCGCGAACATCTTGGTTAGCTCTCTCTACCGAGCCTTGGCTCTGCGAGTGTCTTGGTCGGCCATGAACTATTTTAAGACCAGGCCAGAGAGTGGTAAGTTTTGTAATCACCGAGTTGACAAACTCACGGCCGTTGTCACTTTGCAAAATATATGGTGAACCTACAAGACAGAAAATATCAACCAAGTGTTCAGCCATTTCGTGTGTGTTGGTTTTCAGTGGTCTCAAAAGTAAACATTTTTTCAAATGATCTTGGTAGTTAAGAATAAAATTATATGGACCATCTGGCTCTGCATGTCGATCAGGTCAACCTACAATATAAGTTCAATTAGGTATTGCTGTTTAGTGAATATTAAAGTGAATTATTATTACCTGACATCCACAGTTCATGTATTTGGAAATAATAGGTTTCACAACTAAACCCTTCTTTGGAATCTTTTTCTTCAACTGATATGACTTACATTTACTAAGATACAAGTTTATAATGTTTCGAGTGATGTTTGTGCATTTTTTTTAATTCATGCTCCATTCCTAAAAATAAAAAAAATATTTCAAAAAAATATTTTTAAGAACTATCTCATATTTAAATTCACTAAAAGAGTAACGTGATTCCTTATGATAAGAGGAATTGGTTTTAATTCAGCTTATAAGATTTGACCCATACCCACACACACATAAACACACTAACTCAGCAAGTTAAATAAAAGCTTGTAATAAACTCTTTTAAATGTTAATATTGTTAAATATTAAAAAAATTAACCTACCTTTTTCTCTTTTATGTCCTGTATTAATATGGGCTGCATGCACAATATCGAATAATTGTTCACTTTTCCTCCTCTGCAATATTTAGCAATTCATATCGATTCAACCTTCGATAAAGTTTTGATGAAAGTGGTTTGCCCAATCTGCGTAATTTTTGTGCTTCTTTAACTTCACTAATAATGTTTTTATAATCACCTTCAAAGAGGAGTGTAGACCTAATATTTGATTCTATATAAAGCTTATTTAAACCATCTTCGAATTCTTTTTTAAGATTTTCGATTGATTCATCCATTTTTATCGAAATTTCACTTAAAACTTCGACAAAGGACAAACAAATAAATAACTGCTGCCTATTGAAATAAGTAAGGTTATGTGTTTTCGGGTTGTGGCTATTTATTATTACCCATAACACGAAAACCGTCGCGTGTATTCGATGATAATCGTGATTTCGCGTCGTAGATTTTTGAAATTTCCACACAACGCGTTTTGGGTATAAATTTCGGGCACTGACCGTTTTCCCCAATTGCGTACAACATATATATATATAAAAATCATACCATAGTACTTCCAAAGTTTTGTTTATTTTGTTCAAGTATTTTCAGATATATCAGATGCAGTATCAAATTTTATTTAGTGTTCCATTCAAATAGTCTGTGTTCAGACCAGTCTAAAAATTCTTCAATATAGATGCCCAGAAATTTCTATATGGAATTCAATTCATTTAGATGTGACCATAAAAAATCGCGAACTTCGTCTGTATGATAGCACATATTTTCAGGACATTTTAGAATTTTTTGATATAGCAAAGCTTAGGCTTTATTTTACAAAAGTTAGTTTAACCTATTGAGAACTTTTAAAATGAAAATTTTTACCTAAATTACATATAGCTCTTTTCACAGTTTTAAGTAAACAGATGCCCTAACTGTATGTGCGGAGCTTAACTTCCCTAAGGGAAATTTCACACTGCTTAAGCAGCTGCCACTCGCTCGCCCGCACACGCACACACTCACACTGCTGCCGGTAGTAGTTTCATAGCTCCATCTTCCTGATACATACAGGGTGTCTGCGAAAGGTTGGGAAATCCCGAAACTGGAGATACTCTAGACCAAAATATGTGAATTGACCTAAACGTTACCTCTGTCCAAAAGTTGATAGATTGCGAGATACAGGGTGTCAAAGTTACAATTTTACTTTCTATTTTTCCTTATTGCTCGAATATCTCGAAAACTATTAGCTTTACACACTTCTAACAAGTAAACCTTTTTTGTTATGGAAATACGAGAAAATAAGATTTTTTGTTCAGTTGTTGTATACACGGTAGCACAAAAAAATTATAAGTTATTTACCGAAATAGTGCTGTAAGTGACGCTCTCTAGAAGTTTGGCCATAAAAAATCACGGATTCTTGTTTTTCATATCGAGCTTTATGCCAAAATCTGAAAGCAATAAGGAAACATAGAAAATAAAAGTGTAACTTTAAATCCCTGAATCTCGCAAACTATCAACTTTTGGACTAAGGTATGTTTAGGTCAATTCACATAGTTTGGTCTGTAGTATCTCCAGTCTCGAGATATCCCAACCTTTCGCAGACACCCTGTATACATGCAATGTATTATATTATATAAATAATTTTGTAACACCGACTCCACGTGTGCTCTACAACTATGTGACTATCATTACCAACAAATTCAAATAGATTAGAAAAAAACAAGCCTACATGTTTGCATTGTTTGTCGCCAAAATTGCGTAGTTTTAGAGCATACTACTACCAGAGCCTGCCAAAGTGACAGCATTGTATCAAAACAATGATATTACTGACCAGTGGAAACACCTCCCTTCATTAGGCTGCTGATGCTCTTTGCACATTATCCAAGAAGTACCATGTCTTGGAATCGTCTAACACCACAATTATCTGCAAACATCCACATTTTTTAAAAATAGCACTAAAAATATGAATGTAATGACAGAGCTATCAAAAAATTAACTTATGTCAAGTGCACTTGTGGTATGCAATATTACCCACTTCATGCGAGGAAGAACGAGCAGGCATAAGCTCTGCTCATGGTACAGTTGGTCGATCGGTTTACAGACTATTTTACGAGTATCCATTATGTTTTGACGTCTACTGAGGTGAACAGCTGATCAGCAAGTGACATCTTTGTATTAGTCTGTAGCATTGTCAATAATAAGTAGGGTGTATACTTTACTGACTGGGAACTTTGACAGACAAATTTTTATTAGAAAATTATTTTAGTACATCTGGAATTTATTTATTGCGAGATACGTAGATAGAACAGACTATGTTGTCCTTACCAGTAGCTGTAATTTTACCTGTAAACATAATATAGACACGTGTTTCTGGTTAATTGTTCGTCATAAGTGTAATGTAATTCAAATACAGGTTAAGTATGTGCCGGACCTCTCATAGGGATTAATAACGAATACAGCTTGTTTAAATCACCACTGATGTAAAAAATTAATCTTACACCTTACATGAATCTGCATTATTCTTTTGCCCATCTGAAATCTTTTTAAAGATAAAAAATTAAAATATTTTTAATATCTTATTTTCTTTGTAAAAACCGGAAACTACATTTCTTATTTCCCTCCATCAAGCGCTGTCAGCTTCCACGCGTCATTAGCGTGTCGTCTGGATTTTTGCAGTGTTCTCAACACTAGGCCCATGTCTGCATTCACGAACACTACATTGTTACAGTTGACTACATTTTATGACTTCCTGCAATAGTTATATATTCCACTTTCATTTTTCTAATTTCTAACTTGTCAGAACTACGTGAGTGATGCTCAAACCTAATTGAGGAAATCGAACCTCTATCAATTGGGTCATATGCCGCCGCACATTTTGAATTGATTGTATGGATGTTTCATTGCCCTTTAAAGTCCTATGGTGTTTCAGGTTCTAAAAAGTAGAGATGATTAACATTCTCAAAAATTTTTTATCTTATTTCTTTCCTACCTGACTCCTGACTTGGAAAAGTAGTCATTATTATTAGCAGCCATTTTGCTTGTAGCGTTTTTTTTGTATGCGAAGGAACTTTTCGTAATAAAAGAGTTGTTAGCTGCTAGTACAAAATGAATAACCGGTAGGGTACAAAAACAACAAAATATGGCTTTGTGTACCTGGCGTTGACCGATCCGTCCGAATTGTTTGTCACTTGTTGTGTGATTGTGATTTTGAAATATTTTACTAGATAATCAGCTGTCATTCTACCGTAATGAATACTCGTGAAAAAGACAATACTTATTTCATATAGCAATGAAATTGCAACCGCCAAAAATCACGAAAAGATACCCCATTATTGATAACATTTTAACTCAATTCACTATAGATCAAAGTTTTTCTCCATTGTCGATTCTGAAGCCATTTTCAAAACCTCAGATGTCGGAAATGATAGTTCTCTTATCACTGTTTATGCAGAACCAAGGATTTCATTTCATATTTTACTTTCCAGGATAAAGGTCGACCTCGTGTGTATCACATAAAGTTGAGCATATTGCAGAGACCGTCTAATTCAGAGTATCTGGGCGAGCTGTATTTAGATAGGGACCATAAGAAAAATGAGCAAAATGGAGTTGCATGCAGGTTTAGTTTAGGATCTAAAGCAAATGCAAATAGGTGAGTTTACATAATGATGTTATCGTCAGTTACTCAGTGTGCCAAACTTTATTTTTTTTCCACATGGCTAAATTTGTGTCACTCTCAACTAACTAATTCGGTGAATATTGTGATATGCTTGAAATATGTTTAATTAGTCTTTATTTTTAGATACATTCATCAATTTGCGGAAATCTTCACAGAAAGCGGAAGAAAGTCCGTACGTATACGATATGGGTCGAGTTCTAGTTACAAAGTCACCCAGACTCAAGCACAGCAAATTCAGGTAATTCATATTCTATAAACGCACGCATGGACAGTTTTTGGGCCTAGAAAATAACTGTTTAAGTTGCAATTTTTGCATTTAAAGATTTTAGAACATATGTATTTTAAACTTTTAAATATATTTAATAGTATGTACTTTAAAATATCATGGCTCGGAAATCTGGCATTTTTTCGAATGTCTACCTTACTATTTTTATTCGAGTGCATGGTGCAAGTTCTTGCTCTTTTTGTTTTTATTGTGAGCGCAGGTGAAACACCTTCATTTTTATATAGTGTGTTTTTCACAAAGGTTCCTATTATTTTTTGAGCGCATCAAGCTAGCAAGCTAAATTTCGGCGTGATGAAATTGATGCATGGATAATATTTTATCGTAAGAGAGGTAGTTGAAAATTTCATGCTAGCGGCTGGGCGTCATTTTGGAACACTTATTTAAAAAAAAAATGAAGCTTTATGAGTACTTTATATAAAATCACCGTCTTTCAAAATGGCAAATTGGCATGCTGTCAAAATTGAACGTTTTCTGTTTCCCACGCCCACTGGCGGGTAAGTAATCGTAAGAATTTTCGAAAATGAGATATGTTTTTTTGGATGTTATATGACATGTCCATCACGAAAAACTGTCACTCATTTCCGTCTGTGCCACTGGGCGTGGGAAGTAAAAGAATAACGATGATTTTTGTATGTTGAATATTTATTTAGCATTAATGCTACGATGTCAATTTTTTATATTTATCCTTTCAAACATTTTTTTAACCAATTTTCTGTAATTTCACATTCTTACCTTAAACATTTTTAAATTCTAACACTGTTTAAAATCATTATTAAATTTACTAAATCCAAATATTCCCTTTTTAAATACAGATTTGCCAGTTAAGCTACTACATATTTCAGTTTTGCAGATGAAAATCTGAACACTACTCTAGTTTCGTAGTTAAGATACTGACTATTTAATTTTGTTAAGTATTCTAAACGTGGTGGTAATAAATGATTTTTTAATTTGAATATGAAAATAAGAACTAAATAAATTTTTCACATTCGACCACTACAGTTTTTCTAGCGTAATTGTCTTTGTTTTCATTTGCTATCAACAAGATAGTTAAATAGTATAAAAAATGGGTAAGAATAATTATAAGGAAAATAAATCTGAGTATCGTCAGCATAAAAATGTACCTAACAACTTCGGAGACGTTGGGAAAGGTTTGAGGTATAAATACTAAAAGTCAGAGGACCTAGAATGGAGCCTTATGGAATACTGGTTGGGATAACATCTTTGGAGGACATACCTTTATCTGTTTCTAGGTATTGTGTTCTGTTAGTTAAATAGTGGCACATAAGCATGCTAGCAGATTCGGAAAACCCTATATGGTGTAAAATACCAATCAACATGTCATGATTTAGTTTATAAAATGCCTTGGAGTAGTCCAAGAGCACGAGAGCGGTGTTTTTTCCGGAATCTGTTGCTTTGAAGATGTCATCAGTTATATTTAACAGTGCAGTTTCCCATCTAAATTCTTTCCTAAATCTTGATTGATAGTCTGGTGCCAAACTGTTCTCAGTTAAATAATCTATATAATATTCACGTACAATTTGAGAGCTGAACTAATAATTGTTAAACAGTTACGATTGGAGAAAAAAATGCACAAAAAATACATTTTTTGACAAAAAAAATAAAAACATTGTTTTTTAGTCTTCTCTATACACACCATGAAATAATCAGATGAAAAGGATTTTAAATACTGCTGTAATCAGGTAGTTGAAAAAAGCGAAACAGAAAAAAGTGAGGTGCGGCCTTAAATGCATCGTCGATGAATAATACAATTTTCGTTGGACAGGCACAAAGTTCGGCAGTGCAAGGGCAACCAAATCTAGCTCAACAACATATAACACAGTTGACTCAAAGTTTGCAGGCGCAAACGATGGTCAATGGTAGTATAGGAGGAAATGTTGGTGGAAGTATAGGAGTCAATGTAGGTGCAAGTGGAAGTATAGGCGGAAATATAGGAACAAATGTAGCAGGCAATATAGGAGCAAATGTAGCAGGGACTATAGGAGTACAAAGTACAAGTAGTGTTCCAATACTGGTTAGTAATATTTACTTTGTTATTACAAATTATTTTTAATACTAATTGTGCATGTTTTCACCGGGTATGATTATTTGAAAAATATTTTTACTTTTTCAGCAAAGTCATTTGCAAGGAATTAGTCAGCAAAAGGCGAGCCAAAGTCAGGCACTGTCGAACCAAGAGCAAGCAATTAATGCTCTGGCAAATAATTTGATGAATTCAGTACAACAGTATCAAGCTGCTGGTGAGTGTATTCTCAAAGTATTTGTTGCTATTACTTTTAGATGGCAGTTTTTTTTAAATCTGACCCTGAAAAGTAATTCTTATTAAACAATCTGAATTGGCGACTGTAAATTCCACATGGAGGTAATTTTTTGGTGTAAGTAAAAATCCAGCATCATTGATGAAAAATGGCATTCAGATGGTGACGGACTCATTTTTCTCATTGTTACTCATTATTTTTATGGTACTCGTTTTTAGTCATTTTTCTCGTTCCTTTAAAACTTTTCCACAAAGACATATCCTTAGCACGTCGATAACTTGGAAAATACCGCTCGGATTTTGATGAACCTTTCGCACAATGTTACTACTTTGCCCAGGACGGAAGAGTTTTATAGTTTCTGAAAAAGACAAATCTGGCCGTGAAGGGTTGACATAGTATTTAAATTGTCTCTGATTTTATTCCCTTTCTATCCATAGTGAACGCCAAACAACAGCAGCAGCAACAACAGCAGCAACAGAAACTGCAATCGAACAACGCGGCGATCATTAACCTGTTAAACTCCCCTGCGAGCGTGGCAAATAGCGACGCTAGCGCCGCTGTGGTGAATGCCATCAACAGTGGAGTGGTGGCAGGCAGTACGTCAGGGCAACAGTACTTGAGTACTGCTGTCGGACAGAAATTGTTGGCGACAGGGTTGGGCAGAAAGATGACAGCTGCTACGGCAACCTCTCAGACGGCCGTTCAGGCTAATGCTAGGGTGCTGAATCATGGAGGGTTGATTGCGTTGAATAGTAACAGGTAAGATAAAATGTCAAGCATGTAGTGTAAGTCATTCTTTATTTCCGGATAGGGTCTACGTCTGATTTCCATTGAAGGTCAATTATTTGTCCACGACTAACACAACGTTTAGCACTTTGAAAATGTGCCGTAGACGAAAGCTCGGCATGAAATCAGATGTAAGTTCCATCCGGAAATCAAGAATTCTCTAGTAAATGTTCCCGAACTCTATTCAACAATTGTTCGTGAATTTGTCCAGCCAGAATCTAGTCGTCTCCCTTAATGACTTCAGAGCTCTTTCCAAATTATCAGAGCTACAAGTAGATTGATAATTTTGTTTTGTCGTACCGATATGATAGTTTGTACTTTATAAGCATTTACAGTGCGAGAAATGTATGACTCCTATTCATACCTTGTTTATTAGGAAAATTGTAAATGGTCAGAAAGTTGCGAAGGAGTAATAATTGCATTATTTATTCAGTACGCAAGTTTCTACTATTAATTATTGGCGGTATTATTTCTAGGCTTCAACAACAACAGGCTCAGACGATAACTCTGACGTCAATGGGCACTAGCGGAAATTATACTAACTTTACGGTACCAGTGAAACAACAAAGGATAGTCAATAGCAGTAGCGATTCCAATAAATCTGCGTTATCTGCTCTTCTAGTAGGGACACCAGCAGCAGATAGGTAAATCTCCATTTATAAGATATAAGTATAGGGTGTTCTTAATGCTGGGGCTCCACTCTACACAGCATATAGCTTTTGCCAAGTTTTTCTAGTAAAATACTCTGAAGATTAACGAGTGCCATCTATTACCAGATAGAGGATAATTGCTTAGCTTTTGTTCGTAGTCCTATCTGAGGTCAAGCCTAGACTATGTTGATGAGTTGCCAAATAGCACGAAACAGCTGTCCATGGTCGGACGAACGAAAGCTGTATTAGTAGTTTGTTCAATGGCGAGTAGATCTTATCAACTATACCACCAGAATCGGCGGCATCTAGCGGCCACAGTGGTGACTCGCCGTAAAATGCGAACTGGGATAGAGTTCCAGCAGTCAGCTTGATGTTTCACTCTCGCAGTAGTCCATTCTGGGAATAAATGGCTTTTTGCCCTGCCTTATTTCGTTCTTTTTAACGCACATTAGTTGTTTCTGAAAAGGAAAGTCCCAACTTTCAGAACACTCCGAATAGCATACAAAGAAAATTATGGTATTGGTAACGTGTGCTTTGTGACGTCTACGTTTTCCCTTTCTTTGCTTTCGAGCGCGGTAATCAACCAAATATTGAAATACCTTAAAAGGTCGATAACATGAAATTCATCATTTGTTATAACATGCGTACCTCCTTTCTCATTCCGAATTGAATGATTAAAGTCGAAAGTTACGATTTGATTTAGACGTTGGAGGACGCATTGTCTATTGGAATTTAATGTGTCCATGTGTTTGAATTGTTCAATAATATATGTTTTTCTCCAAAATCCAATACAGTTTATTTCGAACTGTTAATAACCTCATTCAAATTGAATTTGGAAACAAAGTTTTGTTAATTGTAGTCTCTAGGCGGTATTTTTATCAGGGTTCGACCGTTAACGATATGCATCTATGTCTTGGCAGCATTATCTGCAATGTGTCATTTACAAAATTCGACAGTAGATAGGAGTGTGTACGGAAAGAAACGGACGGTCGGTAGGCCAATACTGCCGATTTATCGGCCAGTCATCGGTATCGGCCGATTATCGGTATCGACAAAAATCCTACATCGGTCGATCTCTAATTTTCATGTTTGGTTGATGGCCGAGCTGAAGGGACAAATATACTAATTTTTAGGTATTGGCGTGTAGCCAGCAATGTGAACATTGACATTTTATGATGTTTTTCTTCCCTAAACGTTAGGCCTGACATAATTGGTCCGAACACCAATTCCCTCCTCTTAGAAAAATTGGGTGCAGCTACCTCCACGCCGCCACAGTACGGACAGACGACAAGCGGTAAATCGGCAGCAGCGACTGCCCAGCAGTTTCTTGTGCAATCGTCTCCTAAGGGGGCCGTTGCCAGTCCGATGTCGAGCCCCCCACTTGCCCAGCAGCACCAGCCACAGGCGCAGGCGACGGTGCAGTCTGCACCGCAAACTGTCAACGTGCAGGGGTTGAATTTCGCGCAGCTGCAAAGTATACCTGGTAAGTTTGTTTTTCTTTTGTCATGCGTAATGCATACCATAAAATAAGAAAATTGCCGTTGGCCGACGTGCAACTACGACTTTCTAGGCTGAGCTTGCTTGATAAGCATTTTATTTTTGTCACATATGAGTGTGGATATGAGAAAAATTGCGTCAAGTCTGAGAAAAAAGTTAGCTATGAACATGTGGCGTCTGTAAATTAATAAAAGTGCAAGGGTACATGTGTGGGAACATCTATGATGAGTGAAACATGTCTAATAGGTGCGTAGGATTACTGGAGTTGGAGTCTTATAAATATACCAACGTCAAAGAATTGAGATATACCCTCCCCTACCCGCTGCACCTAGCGTTGCCAGGTCGCCAAACCTAATAGCCGGACAGACCAGCCAGTTTGGCCGGACATTTGGTTAAAAAAGCCGGACACCCTATATTATTGAGGATTTTGTCTTAGTATTAATAGGTACGACAAAAATTTTTTATGTAAAATCAAGTCTTTTTGATTATCATCATAAATCTTGTTAATTTCTAGTGAAATAACAAATAAAATCGAAAGCCAAATCAGTCTTAGATAGGTACTTTATTATTAATCAGTCAAATAGTCATCAGTCAAAATTAAATTCTAGATACTTAAACATTTATCAACATATTTGAATTTTTCTTAAATAATAAGAAAGGCACAAATTATACTTTTTTAACTAAAAAAATCAGTAACTTCTCTTTAAGTTAAAATATAAAACAAACAAAAACTTTTTCTCTTTGAGTTACACAATAAAATTAAATTCTAGATAATTTAACATTTATGAACAAATAAGACATTTTTAACTAAAAAAAAATAAATAACTTCTTTTTAAGTTAAAATATAAAACAAACAAAAAACATTTTCTCTTTGAGTTACACAATAAAAATAATTATTAATATTTTTGGTTTGTCGAAACCTGCTTTAAGAGCTCAGTTTCTTTCAAAATTTAGTTGTAAAAATCCTTACATGTCAAATGTTTTAAATTAAATTCTACAACCAACATTTTGGCAACAGTATCAACATGTAACTGTTGCGTTCTTTCGTCCATTGCTGATCTATCAAGGAAAAAACTCTTTCAACGTTTGCGTTATGTCCTGGGATAGCAAAGTAATACTGACAAATAGTTAGGAATTCTGAAAAGCAATCTTGACTTATCATCGATTTAAAATAGGCTACCCATTTCTTATGTGCTAATAGCTTCTTGAAATCAACGTTCTCTTTGTTAGTATTCAGAAAACTTTTAAGATTTTGCAGTTGGTCAAAACATTTGCTATTGTCGATTTTAACGTTGTTTTGCGATAGGATACTTATAGTATCGGAAACTTGATTCCATTCAGGAACATCTTTTAAAGTCATCCATGTGAATGTTTTGTGTCTTTGTATAAGTTTTCAGTCCAAGATCGGCAGTGCTCGCTTGTTTGCTAAATGTAAAAAGCCTAACAAAAGCCGGACAAGACGGACACCGTTTATTTTAGCCGGACATGCAATCAAAAAGCCTAACTATGTCCGGCTTTATCCGGACGCCTGGCAACGCTAGCTGCACCCCATAACCCCCAAAAACGAAGATTTTAATTTTATTTGCAGTTTTTTGATTTTTTCTCTGCTTCGACTGGGTCGATTTTCAAAAACTTTTTCGTGCTTGGCATGGTAGTAACCTTGTCTGAAATGTTCATCCAAATGCGAGCGCTACTTTCCAAGTTACAGACGGGCCAAGGATTAGGGGACAGGCAGACAGAAATGAGTGGCATGGTTTTTTGGGATGTACAAGACAAAGAACGTCCAAAAAACATATCTCATTTTCGAAATGTTTGCTAATACAATACTTTCTCGCCAATAGGCGTGGGAAGTAAAATAAATATAATTTAAAACTATTCATTTATTTTTATTACTTACATACAGTATCGGACAAAATTAGAGAGACTAGACTAATTATGACTTTGATGGAATACAGAAATTTGTTGAATTTTTGTAATTGAGTTAAAAGACTTATGTCATTAAGTAGTTTCAAATGATACTAAAATAAATTCATAAACTTTGTTTCCAAAGATTTATAAGAGAAAATAAAAAAATAAAAAACTCTATGCGACAAAATTAGAAAGACTTATCCTTAAAATACATTTGTATCCTACTTATGTCATTAAGTAGTTGCAAATGATACTAAAATAAATTCATAAACGTTGTTTCCAAAGATTTATTAGAGAAAATAAAAAAATTAAAAATTCTATGCCACAAAATTAGAAAGACTTATCCTTAAAATACATTTGTATCCTTAATGAAACTAAACTAATACTTCGTCCAGTTCCCTTTGTTCTCAATGACTTTTTGACATCTATTTGACATCGACCCAATGAGATTGGAAATTATAGCTGGACCCATCGATTTCCAAGCATTTTCAGTCTCTTCAAATACCTGAGCATGATTGCGATATTTTTGGTGCGAATCTTTTTCTCAATTATCTGCCAAAGATTTTCAATGGGGTTTAAGTCTGGTGTTTGCGGTGGCCATTTTAAAACTTGAGTTTTATTTGCCACCATTCCTTCACAAGTTTGGCAGTATGATTGGGGTCATTATCATCTCAATTTTGTGGATTGGACCCATTCCGTAACCTGTAAGCTTCTATAATTTTTCTTTTAAATCCATGGAATAATGTTTTCCATTAGACATTGCTAATAATTTTCTCTGTTGATTCAATACTTGACCAACTGCACCTCAGCGAAACTAAATGCAAAACGAGTCTCTCTAATTTTGTCGCAGGCATTTCTTTATCAGTACAAAAAAATATCCTAAAACGAAAATACCATCAGGTACACAAATAAACTGTTGATAATAAGATGCTTTTGGTCGCCGGGAATACACTGCTTAACAAAAATTAATATTAATTTAAGTACAAGAAAGCTGGAATGGTCAAATAGCAGTCTCTCTAATTTTGTCCGATACTGTACGTCATCTCAGCGTACCGAGTTTCGTTCATTTGTAGATACGGAGAACGAAAATTAAAATTAGCGTGGTGAATTTTTAGTTTCATGGTGTAAATATTCAAATATTTTTAATTTTTTTGCGTTAGTAAAACAAAATTTTTTACATTTAAAAGCTCCCTTGATTTTATAAATTCAAATAATGAATTGATACACAGACACCATCAAATTTTTGAGACTGACCATTGATCGTGAATTAGATTTTACTAATCATGTAGACAAATTGCTTACCCAACCAGGAAATATTTCCTTTATTATAAGAACAATTAGTTACAACGGAGGGAAAAGCTCATCCTTAAGCAGTTAATTTGCCCAATTTTAAAGTAGATATATTGAGATTTCGATGTGTCTGTTCCCAAAACTGTTTGAAAAATTGCTTATTCTACAAAAACGAACTATTATATACATATCTAAAAGCAATTCTAGAGCTACACGCTGGTCTTTATTTGTAAATCTTACAATAATGACTAACATATCATTGATCATTTTAGAAACGGCAACTATTACATTGATAAACACAGGATTTGTGACATGACAATTTTTGGGTGTATCTTATGTATTTTGAGACCCTTAAATCAAATCTAAAAACAGAATTTTCCTATCAGGCACATATACATGTATAATGTTATATGCGAGCTCTATGTTTAGAGAGCATATTGCGTGTATTAGTAGACTAATAGCAGCCCAGTCAGTTACATTTTCTGTGTTGAAGAGTACTGAGATGTTCTGAGTACTGTTAATTTTTGTTAAAACGGTGTGTTGTTTTTAGTTTATTGTGATCGAGACTAGCTTTATGGATAATGACTAGAAATTGTGTAAATAGTGCGAAACGTTTTTGTTAGGTGTTCGGGGAGCTAACTTTTAAATCCCAAAAACGTACTTTTACTCCCCTTGTGTTGAAAGCATACGAACTTTATTTTGGAATTAAAGTTGGCGACCAAGACAAACTATGGGCCCCTCATATAAAATAAATTTGTCAGTACTTTTGTAGATGAACTTTTATTAATGCATCAGCAACAGTTGGTTACAGGGGATTAAGTAACGAAATGAGTACAGAGAATGGTCGACGACCGGTTTTATATCTCAAGATAACAATTTTCCAGAAATGTGTCGGGTGAAAATGCAAGCTTCACATCCTGTCTCACGAGTATAGAACGGTATTATACTCGTTGGGACTTGGATGATGTTAATGTTATCAGAATACCATAACTCCTCCCCACGGTGAAAAAGATTCGTCTCGAATCAGAATAATTAAGTTAAAGGTATTTACTCAGCTGGTTGAGAAATTGGAGGCGTGGGTGGAACTTTGGTGTCCTTCACATAACGATATTTTACAAATACAATAATAAAGATGATTAAAAATATGAGAATACAAACCAAAATAATAGGATACGCTACGGTAGATCTATAATGTAAATTTTGAAATTTGACTTGCAAAGAAGTAAGGTTTTGATGCAAATAAGAGTTCAATGAAACATTTGTTTTCTGAAAATGATATTGTGTACCTGTTGCTGCATAAGCTAGGTCTAGCTTAATTTGAAATGTAGTATCAAATTCTAAAATTTGATGATCGACTCTAAAATAATATGTGTTGCATAATGGATCAAAGAAGTACCTTTACAGTCTCTTATCTTTGTTAATTGATTAGTATCAATTACATAATTATTTTTATTTAATTCTAATATTCTCGTGTAGTTTGATATGCTTTCAGACTCACACATGTTGAACCTCTGTGGTTGACAGGGAGACTGGAAAGTACTTTTACAAACGTACAGTTGATTACTTAGCTTAACAATGTCAGAACAGTAATAATTCTTTTCATAAGTCAATAAATGCTCACTTGGTAACATAATAAGTTCATGATTAATAGAAATTGCAAATAATTTATAAAATGTATATTCCTTAATATCTAAAATGGGAAACTTGATTACAAATATAAATTCATCTTCTAAACAGATAATAGACATTTGAGAGAGGTCATAGATTTCGAATAAATGAATGGAATCA